GGTGACTGTCTCCAAGTTTACAATCTACAGTGATTAATACCTTAAAGTGAGTTTTGTTTTCAAAGATTAAGGTATTGGGAAAGGTTGACAAAGTAACACCATGATCTGCCTAAACAATAAGTTTAAGAAATAGAAACCGTTCAACAACAGAAACTGGACGTAGGCATTTATAAAAGATCAAGTTTTAGTTCATAGATATATAAAGCTCATGTTTTCTTCAAAGTACTGTAAAATAAACCATCTTTGAATATTTTAGCGCTTAATTTTAGTGATATCGCAATCACCAAGTTAATAAGTTGAACGATCGAAGATAATTAGGACATATAGGACAGAACTCCGAATCAATCTCTTCTATCCTTTGAACAACCATGATAGAACCTGACATCTATATACTAAAACAGGTCTGTAACTACGATTGGCATATCTTGCTCCACAAGATTAGGTTAACATGTATGTACAGTGAGTGAACATTCAAGTTCAAAAGCATTTTAGTTGGGCACTTTTATTGCAGAATTCAAACTTTCCCAACAGAATGAGCTGTTTATCAAATGGTTGCAAGTTAACAGAACTTAACCAGATAACCGAAAACAGAAGCAAAGTTTCAGATATGACTTAGTGACATACCAACAAAACTCGATTGCCCAAATATCTTTTTCACGCATACCATCTCGTCAGCCATATGATTTAAGTCCCCGATTAACAACTCCCTAATCAGTCATACGCCAGATGGTGAGACTCACATACAATGCAATCATACATCATGCAACGTAATGCACTGCTAGCTTATCAGTTTAATCAATGTAGCAATATTATTTTGAGACTTCTAGGTAACTCATCCCGTTAGTTATCTACAGGATCTAAACAAGAAGATTCAAGCATTATAGTAAGATGATTAGAGTTCACAAGGTAGGGTAGTTCATGAGATACAGAGCGAACATTAAACCGTTATCTATAGTTGTTTTGCTGATCTTAGATTTTTTATTTTATTAAGAAAAATAAATAAAGAGAAAATAGACTTTGTCACTGACTTATATTGCTTAAAGAAACACTAAACACAAATGACAAGTGTTTCGAGTGACAACCTGGATCATTCTACCATTCATACTACTGGTCACCTGACTATAGGTATAGCGCCTCACCAGCTGAACTACGAGACACACATATTCATCAGATTTTAGCTTCAGCCCAACCACCGAGGATTTTTCCATGCTATTGTGTGACGCGTAGCTATCCGTAAAAAGGCTGTCATTATTGGATACATTGTAGAACTTCGCATTCTTGTGACTTCTTCGAATTGAAACCATCATAATACAGGTAGTACCATGCGATGTTAAACAACCAGGAGCATTCTCCCTACTCTAAACCACTCATGATTTAGCGAAGCTATTCTGTATGTGTTCACAGAGTCATTACGAAGGAATCCAGATTTCGTAGTTTCGTAAAGTTCACTTTTTCGAAATCACTCATCAGTGGGAAACAACCACTTTTCGACTTCGCTAGAATAACAGAATAATTTTTAAGGCCTCTAAATTTTCCTTCGAAATGTAAATTGCAATACGTTGTAATCATTTATTCTTTTGCGATAGCACGTTTCAATATTTGAATCAGAAATTTAAATGAAGCAATAACACTGTGATTAGTACGACTGTGTTCAAGATAAAAAAAAGTGGTTGCATAGTAATACTATGATGAATTTAGTTGTAGGGGTGATTTTTTGAAAGCTATAGGATATAATGTCCAGAGGTAAACCTAGGGAGTGTATATTTTTTCCTTTTTTGACCAACAACATGAAGGTGAGTAAACTAGCGGACATAAACTGATGTAGCCTAAAGCAGCGGTTTGCTCTCAACACCCACAAAGCAGTTTCCGGTTGGAGAAGAGAAACTAAAGTTCAGCAGAATGAAATATCTTGCTTATTGATCTGACCAAATGGGCTATTATGATCTTTGCTGGAATATCACCTTCAAAATCAGTATTCCTGCACAAAGTTTTCTTCAGGACTAATCGGGTTTTATTGAAGCGTTGCTTGGCATTTAGATTTTCCTCTATTAATCTGGAGGGATTTTCATTTTGCAAGAGCACTTGTTGAGCTGTCTTTAGTTTAATGTACTTCTAACCCAAACATAAGCTCTCAATCATCGGGCATAACACGACATTTTCCAGATCTGCAATGAATCAATTTGCTAATAAGAAACTAACTGGTGACTTTATTGCCACTACTTTACGCTTTGCTTGTAGAACGCATTATTGAGTCTGAACTGCATATCGAAAGTGAATCTGGAGAGTAGTTCTTTTAAAACTACCTCAGAAAACCAATGTAGAAACTATTTTCTACAGGGATTTAAATGAATGTAACGTTAGTAACGAGTGAGATGACATGCGGAGAGATCATCCATTTTGTAAGATACATTATTGACTGAGTTAACGAAGCTAAATAAGTCAAACACACTACGATGGTTTCTGACAGGCTGTAAGATATCACACAGCCATTTGGTGATATCATGATGTAGTCAGTTGTTCAGGTCTAAAATTGAACGACGTTAGACGCCCTTCTTATAAGCTTTTGGAAGACTATATAGTGGAGCACCTACTAAACCGTAGTTGCTTAAATGATTTGACGTTAATTGTCTACTTATTCTTCTTTTTTTGAGAATTTTTCTGAGCTTCTGTTCTCGTTTATCAGTAGCAGCTTTTGAGTTTTTCTTCCAAAAAACGACTCTCACTTTATACTATTCAGAAGAGCTGAGAAATGTAGTTTAGATGACTTTGGAGGACAATTCCAATACATTTATAAGAACGAACAAATAATACATCACTAGATAAATCAACCGCTTACCATATAGGTTTTTCTTTCAAAGTATTGATGAGAGCAATTTAAGACCTTTGGTTTGATTAGTTTAAGTTTTCATTTCAAACTTAAAACTGCTTTCCATCATTCTTAGACAAAAGTCCTAGTGTTTTTGTGGCGAAATGAAAGCAGTTGTCACCTAGAAATGCCCATACACTACCGTGCATTTATAACCTTTGACACTGAGCTATACGGTTATTTCACTATAAATGCCACGAGCTTTTCACTGGATCGGTGGACAAACGCTTTTCATTCAAAGTAGTTTGAAAATGCTGATTCCAAATCTATGAAACGTATAAGCTCTACAATCCAGAACCGGCGAATTGTGTAAGAATTTACTTTGGTCATCAACAGTCCGAAAAAAACAGTACCCAAAATGTCCCACTACCTTGTGAACCAAACTCTAAAGGAATAGCTCAAAGAATGGTCACATAAAATAACCATCCGTCATGATCTCCGCGTACAAGTAACATCATAGTCCCCATAGAAACCGTAGAATAACGTCTACAATAAGGACTTCGAAGCGCTTATCGAAGACATTCTAACTCACTGTCTTACAAACTTTGAGTTATTCAGTTTGTTACCATAATTATTTTAAGATATAGGTAGAACTCTCTCCCTTATTATCATTTCCGAATACCCCTGTTTGTATCTTTGTTTCACTCAGATGTCTGTCACTGTTCTAAATTTTGATCATTCTGTATCGTTGTGAGCCGGTAAACCGTTGCTTCTACAAATAAGTTCTTCAAATGACACCTGGCTCAAAGTCTTCGAAACCCCGTGAACCGCTTAAGCTAAACGTCGTCAAAGTTTACATCTTCATGTGAGTGGTACAAAAAATCAGTTCGGCAAAGAGTTTGGAAAGCCTTGTTTTTATGTATGCTATTTCTCAGTGACCTGTAAACAAGATCCCATTGAAGTGACCAGAATAATTTCTCCGTCTGTCAGTTAGAAAGTTGTGTCATGTGTGAGCTTATCAAGAGACTCTGTAGCATCACGATCCTGCCTCATTGCTGTTAATATGGCAATAAGTGTTAAAGTTGACTGAATTCTAAACTACAGTCCCTTGTTCTCTTCTAAGCTAGAAGATCCGATTAGAGTAAGAAATAACTGACTAGGTGAGTGATGTATCCTCGTCATCACTACCTATTCTTGAATTGATCCCAGCTCGGAAGGAGCTAAGAATGAGGGTTGTCATCAACTGAGTGACCTCATTCAGGCTCGCTCAGCAAATACTGTAGTGCTAACTGCAAACTTGAGTGTATAAGCTGGGTGTCTAGACTAACAGCAAGATCTTTCAGATGGCCAATACAGATTATGCGGTTTCAGGTTCAAGATTAGCAATGCGTTATGTTAAAACTCACGCCACTTGATACCATATTCGCGGTAGTTACAGCTGTATGCCATTCTGTTTAATATTTGAATATATATATATATATATATATATATATATATATATATATATATGTTCCTACATGATATCAGTCACAGCGCAGATTGTAACAGAATTAATCGTTTGTAGTAAAGAAAGAACAAGTGTTTACACTTCACAACTGGATGTCTAAACACCGTTAATTTGATGACTTCTGTAATGCGTGGAATCGGGCTTTCAGTTAAGTATGCTAACTCACAATTTCTCATATGTTATTTGACATGAACCTATCTTCTTTTTTACCCTGTTTAAGTGCTTGATAGAACTGACTCACTAAAGGAATATCGACTGAGTGCAAGGATGCTTTCAAACTGCCGTCAGTCGTAGGTTGATCTAGATTTTTTATTCCCTAAAAGTGATGCTGAATAAGTGTGTTTGGTTCAACCTAGAATGTCTATCTCACATTCCCTCTAGATGGAGTTGGTTATCTCTGTTACTCCTAAGTTTTGAAAGAAAGACATATTGTTTAAATTACCAGGACGTTTTCTTCTGAAGTATGAGTTTCTTATGGTCTTCTTAGTAGCGAATAAAGAAAGGTTGTAGTAATCATAATGACTGAAACTGATTTTACGGTTTATAACGAAAACAATGTTTAGACATGCAGTAACACCATATGAATCGCTATCGAGTAGAATAAAAACCCTATATCCGATTCCAGTTATAATTATCCACATAATATGATAATTCTTTTATCTACCTAAAACAATGAGGGTTTTTCAATTATATAAAATCCCTGTACCTTTCATGTATATCATTTGATTCACAGTCGGTCAGTTTACAACTTCGTGTCCCACTTTTACCAAACCTTCTTCTTAATAAATTCATATATTCCTTCTTTGTCAGAATCTTTGCAGAGGGTGGAGGAATAAACTTCAGATCTCCCGGCTTTAAATAACCCCCGGATAATGTCGCTGATCGACTGCGCAAGCTTTTGCTCCAATTTACTTGATTCTTTGCTAAAACATCTATGATAAAAAAGAAAATAATTGTAAGCTCCAGACATTTAATTATGAACTAATGGTCATCGCCTCAACAAAAGTGAATAACAAATCTCTTCTCAACTCTTTTATTTTTGTCACAATGATCGTTTTTTTCTCTTCGGATTACTCTGTATAACTTGGGTGCTAACACTGTAATGATAAATCAACTCATTGGTTCAGATTCATTCTTCTAGGTGACAGTAAACGTCCCATAGTTAAACTCCGATTTCAGAAAATGTATATCACCTTCGGAAGAATACCATCCTATCATCTCTGACTTCCCATTATTCTAAAGACGGTTCCCATTACAGATCTATATCACTTACAATTTCCACGGAAGACTGAAAGGTTTTCAGTGGTTGACCAGCGGGAACTCAAATGCACAACATAAATGTGTAGCCCACACTCATCTAGCAACTATAAATTTTGATGCTTATCATAAGTTAAGAGTAGTATGAACACTGATTAATTATATAGCACTACCTTTTGGTGCAGTGTTAGTTTCCAGTTGAGATTATGACACTGTTTAAACGACACATATCCAAACCACAGGAGTGTTTACCAATACCAAAAAAAATTATTAAAGGTCACATAAAAGATAACGTCTAAACTCTAGTCATTCAAATTTATTCGAAGGGATGATGGTTTTTCAAAGAAACCGCGAATCTTAAATGACTAATAAAAGACAAATACTCAAACTAATCGCTCCCCCCCCCCTCACCCTACTTAACGACGTCAAAAAATGTATGTGAATCACAGATGTAATCAAACACTCATCTTGATTTCTGATTCAAACCAAGCTATTATCAACATTTTCAAAGTAATATAAAGTAATTTGTGAAACACACTAAAAAAGTCATAAATTCAAAGCCTGCTAGGATATGGACATGTGTCCCTTTGTCTATACAAGCGTAAATATATGACGTGTGTAAATTAAACTACATCACTCTGAAAACAAGTATCAATTTACAAGAAAGGAGTCAGTTAGTTAAGAGCATTCCTCTCTGATTTCCAACAAAATTTGATTGTATGCGATAAACCTTAAAAGTGATCGTTCATTTCAGAAAAATTATTGAGATATCATGTAATAAAATTTATTTTTTTAATGGATTGCTGGTATTCCATAATGCCTAGCTAAATCCATAATGCTTTGATAAATTCATCGACTAGTATTTTTCTTTACCAACATTAGGAAAAACCGAAAAATCATGAGACATCTTTAAGTGATCATTTCATCATTAATCTACGGAAATTCACCAGTGTAATACTGCATTTTCAAAGCGTCCAGGTAAGTACAACACGTGAACTACAGTTTAGATGCTATAGTTGAGTATTTCCTCCAGCTTTAAGATTAGTTGCTTGCTCTTATTGAAAGACAATTGTATGATCATCCTGAGAAACAAAATAATACTACCAGATACATTTTCTGTAGTGATTATCGATTAAAATCACCTACTTTCTGAATTTTCGTGGCTCCTGTAAGTGTGCATAGCTGAGCAATATCTGCCTGTTTTGAAACTTGAGTCATCTCATCTAACCTTTAGTGTAGATATTTCGGTTAGGGTTTAGATAAATGTTAGTATATCCCACTTTATACAAAGGTCATGTCTCATCTCACAACTTGTTTGACCCAATTATGATCACAACAAAGTGCAATATTTATCTTTACATAGTGGCTTACCAGACTCATATAGATATCGTATGATAATTGAAGATGAAATGAAAATCTGGGCTATGTGCGGATTCAGCCCGGTGATTGAAGTGAAATTAGAGTCTATTCTGCAGCTGGGTCTCATTCCTAGGTTGATAGAGCACCGGGCCAGAAACTCGGATACCTAAGTTCTGCCGCGGTTCAGATTTTCATTTCAGCTTTAATTATCACTCAGTATCTTCACATAACTCGTACGATCGGCGGTTAAAGTCATCTACAAAAATGAGAAATAATAATATCAAGCTTTCAGACATGAATTTCTGGGCGTTTCATAAGGAATTCAAACTATACAACCTCATTTTAAAAAATGAGAATACTTCAGTGAAGAGCTGGAACCTGAAGAAGGTATAGACCACACAGTCAGCCATTCCTACTTATTTGCCTCTAACATTTTTTGTCTCGTGTCTAAAAGATATGCTGTTTGGACCCTGATTCCAGAATACGGGAGCACAATGAATTGCTGGTTGCCACATTCCTTCTAATTCATGGTATTGGATGCATATTATATAAGACCAAAACGCCCAGTGCGGATATATGTTCTGTGTACCTAATTACATCTAGCAAGTGGTCAACACAAACCATAAATGACAGTAGCTTGAGTTGCTTAGAGCTAAAATCATACGTGCTTCGGCATAGAGGTGCTAGTCTAAAGGATATCACCCTTAAAGTCAAGGTTTACGTTAAATCAGCTTCTGTCGCACAGTAAGTATGGGGAACAAGAACTGAGAAGTTTGAAATGCTGTTTCGGTTTTAAATGAATGACATTACTTTGCACTAAAGATAACCTACTTAAAATTTCTCTCCATTCATTTGAACGTGGATTATATGGTTGCAAATATGAAGTGTTGATTAGAGACCATATTTTATCCAGTCTTTCCATATCGTCTAAATTATTCCCGTCAACGAGTTTTCGACTTTCTAATTTGCTTTGTGAAATACCAGTAGACTGATCATCAGTCGATTTCATATCATCATCTTCAGGCTCTGATATCAGAATTGTTTCATCAATATCAACCCCATAGTTGGGTTCACTGATCTCTGATAAATTATCCCAATTTGCTAAATCATTCTGCTCATTATTCAAATTATTCTTTTGCTCTTCACTCTCAGCTTGATCAAGATGAGTAGTGTCGAACTGATTCATTGTACAATTAGCTGAATTTAATGTATTGTACAAGTTGGATAAAACCTGTTTTGTTTCTTCAATGTTTACATCATCAGCATAGGCTTCTTCACCAGTTTTACAGCTTTCGTTCAAATACTGTTTGGAATCAGTAGACAGAATTCTTAGGATACAATTGGCTGAGTAGCCGATACAGTTGGTTAAGTGATGAATTGAATCAGTACAATCCTTTGCAATCTTATCGATATCGTCCAAATCATTCATTAGATTCCCCTTTTTATTTTTATATCCTAAATTTAAGAGAAGCGGTAAAGTACGAACATAGAAAGTTTTAATTAGGACACTTTAGAATTAGATACGTAGTCGCAACCTCATCCAACCTGGTATTAATAAGTTCAGTATATTTGAAGACAGTAAATTGCGGATTGATTACATATCCTTGGAATCAGTGTTTTTGGAGCATGAGGTTTGAACAGGAAGTGTCTTACTGCAAGAGAGAAACCGTCATCATCACAAACTCCATACTACCTTTGATACTGATCCTTAAAGTTATACCAGCCCGAACAAAGAAAGGATAATATACAGTTCTGGAGGCACAAATATGTTGCTTGTGAAAGTTAGTCTTCGAACTAAATGGTTTTGTTATTTAATGAGGAAAAATATGTTACAGGAGTTCTTTACGCTTCAGATTTCCTCAGTCAACTGAATACTTCGTCTCTGTACAGCAACTAATACGTGGCATGTTGGTAGATCACGTCCTTATTGAATGGAATAAAATGAGGAAAAAATATAAGATTATCCATATTTGATGGCGTCCTGAAAGTTCCATATGAATGGGTTGTGTCCCAAAAACCTAAATGATAGTAACTATGTTTGCTGTGATAAGCAGTGCTTGTTCGTATCTCCTACGACGCATTATCTCCTATTAGGTTCGAAATTTCGATAGCTATTATATTTATTATCATTTGTCCTTTGGGTTTCTAGTGGAACATAGGGCTTCAGTAACACATTGCTATTACATTCTCTTCTCTGCAGTCTTCTCAACCTCACTCCACAACTGCCCACAAACTTTCATTTCTTCATCACACCATCTCCTTCCTCCATGTCACCCTCAGCTGTGACACCCAACTCATCGCCACCCCTTTGGGTTCCACTCGACGATCTGGCCTGACCTGGCCCGGCCTGACCTGATGCGTGATGTCCCCAAAACGGTATTCTCAGTGTATCCCAAATTCAATCCATCTCCACTTCCTTCTGCATATTTGTTGGGCGATGGGTTCTCGCTTCGTTGGTTCGTTGCCAGCCAGCCAGCCAGAGTTCCGTGTTGCTTAGTCTTATTATTCTGGTCATCCGATCTCCATCTTCAGTATCGAGTGAGCGTAGGTAGCAGCTGTTGATGATATATGTGTGCAGTTTGCTGGAAATGCTATTCGTCATGCGCCAAGTCTCTCATCCATCACTCAGAAGCACTGACTTACTTGACGTTGGTGCTGAAGATCCGGATCTTGTTCAAGCTTTATGCTGAGTGCAGTGCAGTGAAGTGCAGTGCAGTGTAGTGCAGTGCGGTGTAGTGCAGTAGATCTCCACACTGATTTCAGGTTAATGAAGATCTGTCTTGTTGACTTTCCGATTCTGGCTGTTTTGACATCCTCACCTGCGCCACCACCGCCACCTGTATTTGAAACGATGCTGCCTAGACTGAGAGGTGGGTGAAAGGGACTACTTCCTTTAGATTTCTTCCATTGATAGTGATTGGTGCTTGTTGTTGTTGTTGTGGTGGTGGTTGTTTGTTATGTATCTTCATCACCTCTGTCTTCTCTGCGTTCACATGAAGGAAGTCCCGTCTTCCTTCGTTGCCTCGCCTCACCTTGCCTCTCCTGCCAACTTGTTAGTTTTCGCCTGTAGATCTTCGAGTTTGTGCGACAGTAGATTAGACGTAAATCACCATCGGCGGCAAAATCCAAATGTTGTTCTGGGGTCTTTTCATCGATCCAGCTAGAGTATGCCCATCTTATTGCTCCTCACGGTTTGCTGTATGATCCATTGCAGTCGACCACAATCAGGAAGATCATCTGTGATGGCAGGCGACAACCCTGTTTTACTCTTATCTCCTGTCTTCACTTCAAAGGCATCAGTGAGCTTTCCATTGTGAATCACTCGGCATGCAGCATCATATAGTATATAGCTGTTGAATGACGTTGACAAAGGTTTGTGGTATTCCGTAGTACTGAAGCAGTTTCCAAATTCTTTCTTGGTCGACAATGTCGAAGGCCTTTTCAAAATCGATGAAGTGGATATCTGGTGCAACCCAATTCCTTTTTTTATTCAGGCATAATTGCTGACGATACTAGTAAACCTGTGTTGATGCTTGGTCGAAAGAGGTGCTAACCTAACATTCAAATATGTCCGTAGAGAAGCACCTTCACGCCTTAGATTTAGAAGACTATTCAAAAATATTACTGTTTCGACTGGGAGTCTTCGCTTTACAAATGTAAAACAGTTGATCCTTGCTAGAAATCTAAATGAGAAATAAGAAATGAAAATAACGCCGAATGATATCATTTCTTAGTGTCTTAACTATCGCATAATAATTAACATGGTTTACAACAATAAGTTATCCGTAAGGAGTGATAACTTAAGAGGAGATGCTAAACCGGGTCGCTGCAAGATTCGAACCAGTGAGCTGGTGCATAATGCTCCAGTGTTTGAAGCTAGGTGCTGGTTTCTAGTCTCAGTGGGAACACCACTCACTGGGGTGCACGTATATTCAACTTACGAGTCCGAAAGAGGACAAAAGGCATGTTCTGAATTCCAATAATAGCTGCTAGAAAGCAAATTATTATATGTTGAATCTTCAGGCAATATCAAAGCTTCCTCATAGGAGCCTATTGGCCAACAGAGGTCGGTCATTTCGATTCGGTAAAACAGCAGGGAACTACAAGTGCGAATAGGTATTTCAGTAACAGTTATTATATAGTTCACACTGATATGATTGTGAGCAATAATTAATACTCAAAACGTCATCAAGTAAATAATACTGTATCACTGTGCGCTTTATATCAAATAAACAAATCTAATATGGAATTACATTCTACCGCAGTGCCCAAGTTTTACACTTATAAATCTAATATGGAATTATACAGTTCAGTCCATGTTCAACAATGGTTTTATAAGCAGTCAGATGGAGCAGCAACGGGTTCATCACATGGACCCCTTTTGTTTGATCTGTTCATTTCCAAGTTAGAAAACAACGGTCTTCAGAAGTAGATTGATTCCCTTGACACATACCGTTGTTAAACGAACAACACTTCTACTTAATTTGCTAATAAAGTTAAGGTGGATGACATAGTTGAGAATTTCGGAACAAAGCCTTCAAGGATTAGTTTTGCACACGAAATTTAAGTTTAAATAAAATTCCCTTGTGAGATATCCCTTTCAACCTGAGAATCATAAGAAAAACAATTAACCACAATAATTCACTTGCTTAGTATATGATCTCTTGAATAAAAGTATGTGTTATTAATTACCTTTGCTTGTAATTTCCCGTAGTGAGTCGTACTTTTACTTACCTCAACTTTCACAACCAGAGATTGTTTCTCTTGTTCTAAATAATTACATTTACTGTTTAAACTAGAATAGATTTCCTTCTTTTCATTAGCCTCCTTTGTCATTTGATTAAGCTTTTCATGATGAATTGAAAGTAAATGAGATATCTGTATAAACGGAGAACGTGAAAGAAGGAAAGTGAAGTACTAAATAGTCTTACTTGCAAACTATCTCAGGAAAAAGATATTGACTAGAAAAGGATCAGTATACACTTACTTGACTGACCTATGGGGAAGCGATTAAGCTAGATAAAGTTCTTATTAAACGCTAATATCATCGAAAAACCATCGGAAACTGAAAAGTCGTATCACCTTAATTTGAGACTTATTGGTTGCATCTTCGTGTATGACAACGTTAGGTGCATTAATCAGTGACCAGATAGTCGTCGTTACTGCATTTGATATCCTTCCACCCTGAATAAATCTTATGCACCAATTTTCTAAATTACATTAGTATCTCTGATTGCATGATTGAGTTGTACAGATTTGAATCTGTGAAGTGACACCAGTATCTTCCAACTTGAGATTGCATCATACTGATTAGTGAGGTAGCATATGAAACCTAGGTTTATAACTTTATGCACTCCACCCCCGATGACTGAACACCAAGTACGAATAGTCATGACGTCGTCACCTAACTTCGCGATCACATTCCAAATTAGGTCAGCACTAGTGATTGATTAAGACAAATATAATAACAGTGACTATTCATAAGAACTTGGCATCAGCTAGAAAGGAGTTGTTAGAGGAGTATCAAATTTACCATTGCCAATCAAAAGTAGTATATGGAATATTTTTACTTGTTCCCTGAATTGCGTACAAACCACAACCAAGATGGTATAAAGTAGTGAGGCTTCAAATGATGTTCCGGTCTGTCTTCTTACACTTTTACAAACATGTCACTTCCAACAGTAAAAGAAACAAAGAATATACAAATTTTTTCTCTTAAAAACCTATCTCATCCTATAACATTGTATATATGAGAATAATTCGCGTAAAGATGTCAGGATGATTTTTGTAGTCAGTCCATGTAAAAGCCTCATATATTTCTATAACCACCAGCGTCCACTGTTCACGTGATATAGGTATTCAACGTTCTGTGTTCACTGTTATACCTGCTTATAGTTGCATTGAAACTGAAAGTGTGTATTAACGGTCACCCCAAATAAATATAAAATTGCCTATTAATATAGGGTTTAATAAATCCAATGTGTACTTGATAGAACTCTCAGAGTGAGAATATGCTGAAAACTTTATTACATTTGACACAATTTGATGTGAGGGATGCATACACGAATATATTACGTATCAGGGAGGTAAAGTACGAAGCACCACAAAATCAAGTTAGAAAATTCATATATGCAGTTGAAATCTAAAAAGATCGGGACAAGATGCGATATGTTGAACCTGAGTACTGTGGCGTACTGCAATTTCATAACAGTTTGTTTTATTTGATATGAAAAAAATGCAACAGAACCCAGAGACCATGTGAAATCTTTCATCCTAGGAGACGAGTCATATTTCTCATGTGAGAAATGATGATAAATGCTTGCGAAAATCTTGATGAGTGAAGCCGGGTTCGAACCCATGGCCTTTGTAACCTACCTGAACCAATCAGCCACAGCTCCATGAGCACAGTGATGAAACATTATTCATTGACTACTGTGTCCAGCACAGCTTGTAGATCATGGTTACATCAGAGTAGTCATGGAACTCTGGGGTTTTGTTTTATGGTAGTGGATTAATTGCCCGCCTTAGTTTCAGTGGCATGAGCTTTCTTGAGACTGCCGAGACGTTTTGAATTTCTATTGTTGCCTAAGTGGCTGTTACTTCAGTGAATAAGAAATTAGCATTCAGTAACCCTATCTACCTGAATGAATGAGGTTTTAGGACCGTCATTCTATCCATCGTTATATTGCGATTATTGGTCAGTGTCGGCATAAATCACCGCTGTCTGCAAATTGTCTGATAACCGAACTGATTCCATTGGGTTAATTTGATCTATTTGCTTAACCTGACAGTCATCATACAGTAATCAATAAATTAAATGTCTAACTGGGATCATGCAATTTTTAAGCAGGCTAAGGTTTTATGAGTGTGGCAGATTACATCTTAGTCTTACTAACTTAATGGTTTAATTAACATCCCATCTCATTTTCACTGAAGCGAAAGTAATTTCACAATATTATTTCAAAGCACGACATGCAGTGACTTCAGCACTTATCGTCTATAGGTAGCTTTTAACAGTATGGTTGGTAACATGACAGACCTGCTCCCCGTGCATATGCTGCAACTGTTTCACTCTGGATAGTTAGACTGTACCAGCCATTTCCATATGATAAAAGTTATAATTTAGACTGAATTGGGGAGCCTCACAACTCCCTAGCACATTAAAATTTGGTTTATTTAGTTTTTTATTAACTGACATTTATGACCTTTAAAAATTGGAATTATCCCCAGAATTCTTTACAATGTATGTTGAAGCATATTTTAAAAACTTTACCTTTGTTATAGCAGAATTACGAGTGCCTAGTAGAATTTGTTCTTTCTCTAAATTTGACTGTTCTTCAACTAGGTTGTGAAACTCTGTGAGCAGACTGACATTTTCTTTACTCATTTCAGCTATGGCGACAGAAAGTTTCACTAACTGACCTTCAATAGAAACATTTTCTGCAAGCATTCGCTTCACAGTTGGTTCAGTACGTTGAAATGAAACAGAACGAAATTCAGATGCAACCTAAAATTATTTTCGAGGGAAAAGAAATTGCTAATTGATGTAAATAGGAGTGAATCTTGTTATTTCATATCAGTTAAGTTTACGGAAAAGAACACAAACCCGGCATCCGGCTGAAAAACCTTTGCTGAGAAAGTTTGAACCACACGTTGTCTATCACACTGACTAATGTAAGTTATATTAAATGACTGTATGTGATACTTTCTGCCGAATTCCAAAAACGTAGAACCATGTCACTGTGCAAAGCTATGTGCTCCATGTATTTATCAGGATCTTCCTATCACTTGAGTCTCATGAGCATTTCTCTCCATTAAACGCATCTAGTGAGCACCTGAAGTATACTGAATGCATAAATGAAATGAGAATCACTGGGAAGATTATTCAAATCTATAGCATCAATCACTGTTGTCTGAAGTTGTGTTCTAAATCACTTCATCTATGAGAGAAATCACTGAATACAAAATATCTGGAATAATTTGTTTTTATCCAACCAAATGACCGCGTAAGTAAATCGTTAAAGTGGAAAGGGGCAAATGACAAAAGTTAATATCTTAAAATAATATTTTTTTAAACATTCGGAAGGCTTTATTGATACTTTTAATTTCTTGTTGTTATGTTGGATCGAACCTGTGTTCTTACATAGATGCCTGGATATTGACTGAAGATTCATTATGTTACCATTTGCCTGGTGGTGGTTGGCAGTGTAAGCTATGAGTGCTTAATAGGAGTATCAGTGGGAACACCATCAATCATTGAGGTTCAGGTGCATTCAACTGACGAAAAATGTGTCCTGGGTCCTACAGCTAGACACTAACACATCTGGAGGAACTGTTTATACAATAAGATGTAAGGAAAACAAAGTGAATTTTACTGAATAAAAGGCACGTTACAGACTAATTTTATAGTTGATTACTATCGGTCTGCGTTCAGCTATTTTCTCGTTGGATTAAAAGAAGTTAAATGTAAGCTTCGCCTTTTCGTGCCAAGTTTTTTGATTGAGATAATCGAGTAAGTCGTTTGTAGGTTAGTGTACAGTTCGGAAACCTAATCGCCCAAATTCAAGATTAAATACATTTTTCTATGTGTGGGTTATGGATGTTCTAAGCCGCTTGATTGATTATCGCCATCAAGAAAAATCGCATACATTTATTTAAAGGCTTATTGGAAGCATCCGACGGTTGTCAGGAAACTAAAAATTAGTAACAGCTTGATAAAGGGGATCTAATGCAGCGATTATGAATAGGCACAACTAAATATAAATAAGATGAACTTTCTGGCCAGTGACCAAAAAATATTTCAAAATCAGAACACTGAGAAGATGGAAACAACTGAATAAAACGCTAAAAACACAAGAAACAATATTTTACTACTATGTCTGGATTCCATGTGCTTAAAAGTATGGGGAAACATACACCTAGACCTGAATAATAATGTGTGTGATTATTATGTCTACCTGTGTATCATGCAGTACGAGTACGTTTATTACAAACACTTTGAATTCTGTACCGAATGGTTGTGTGGTTCGGTGGGAAAGATGCATTAAGTATCGTATGAAAGGTGAGCGTTATAAGCTTTATTAGAAAATTGTAATGTTACTAGTGTAATGTAACTATCTCCTATTGTTCCTCTTGTTGAAACAGATCACTGCATATTCCAGAAGCCAACAAAAACAGAAATCAACACAGGGAACACGTTCAAAGAGTTGAGGAAGTACTATTAAGATAAACAATCAACGTTTAATTTCTATACGACCATACGTTCTCTGGACAGATGGATAATATCACAATGATCTACCCTCTTGGTCCTGTGCTAGCTGATACACACTTGTTAGAACCTGAAGATGACCCACTTCGTAAAGAGCTTCATGAGCTTGAATATCTTTAGAATGACACGTTCATTACGTATAAATACAGAGTCAAGAAATGAGAGCTTGTAAATATTTAAAACACAGTTCATCCAGTTACTGAGCTTATTTCTGAGGGCGAATATGGAAATGGCATGTCATTCCTTCACATCCTCCTCAAAACAAACGTGAACCGTTTTATAAAGAAGAACGCATTCATAAAGAATGCAAGATCCAACGATGTATTCGCCGTCGTAGTTGCATGCTACTCTCATACGAAAATAACTCATTCAAAATGTTCAAGCATAGGATGAGAATTATGCACCCCTACGCTTATTTATAAAAAGAAAGACAGGAGCTAAAGATGACTTTGAAGCAAAATGACTATTCTGGTAACTCCAAAAGAAAGTACCTATCCAGAACCTAAGAGAGAATAACGAAAGATATCGTTCATTAGATAAATTTGTACCGAAGATTAAGTTACAACTGTTAGATATAATGTAACATCCAGGCACAATAACTGAACGATACTTCTACCACTTCACTGTAAGTCAGCTCAACAAATAAGCTATCATTAACACAGGAGGTTAGACGCAAACAACTGATGACAGTCCCATCAATCTATGTTTACGTGTTCAACTGCTTCCCTTTGACCTGGCCACATACGTGATACTCAAGAGTTTTTATCCGTGCACACCCATGAAGACACAACAGTATGCACAGCGAAAATAGAGACCAAAATTATTTACAATGACATTTCAGTGCATTCATTGGACGCTGAAGATCTCACCAAATCAAGCCAAATATTTGCACTTATAAGAGAGAATCTACCAATATCTCAACTTATAGGAAACTGATACTTACACTTGTGACAAGAATGTAGCCCTTTTGGTCGTTGCTCTACAGTAGGGTCAACCAAATTTTAGCACAAATAATCTATATTTGGAACACTTAGTCTGTATATTCTTCCTCTACACTCTCTCCTTCTCTTCATGAAAGTTTCATATATTCGCACCACTTTTCAACAACACTTCTTCGAATACTAGAATGTATGGACATGTATATTATTATCTTGCTACCAAATACATTCATACCGCGTTTCCCACCTATTTTGTTATATTAGGGAAAGTCTTGTAGTGCAAGCCACTGTTGAATAGCTTCTGCTAAATTTTGGTCGTCCTTGGAATGAAGATTAGTATACAGTTCAGCAGTCAGTTTATTCTTAAACAAATGCTTCACAAAATAATTCTATACAGTTTTCGTCTTTTACTTATCACCCTTCGCTAGTTGTAGCCGCTACAGGAGTCCAAAATAATTTTGCAGTAGCATCACACTACTCACAAGTAGTATGATATTTTATACAATAATCGCAATGTTTACGGTCTATAGTCGCTGAAGTGAATTAAGAAGATGACGACTTGAACTGACAAACATTTTGGTGAAAGGAGCGTCACTACTAATGCAAAAGACTACGTAAGCTTGAAGTTACCGCGTTTTGTTCAAGTAGTGTATTTTGAACGACTTAGTCTGTGCATGCTAACTATGACTACTGGGTGATGACTGAGGGTGAAATCACCAACGATGATTGAAGTAAAATAAAAATCTGGTCAGCAGTCGGACCTCGTAGCTCAGTTAGTACACCATGGGGCCGGAAACCAGTGGTATCCGGTTCGAATACGGCCGCGGTGCAAATTTTCATTTCACCTTCAATCATCACTTAGTATCAATACTAGTCTGCCAAACCACGGCCATCTTAGTCAAAATGTTAACTATGACCACGATATTATTTGATGTTTATTTGAGTAATAATTTCACATCATAACTTAGTTTTTTTATGGTATCAAATTTCAACTCCTCCACTATGTGGACACTCCAAATTCAATTCTCTGAGCTTTTCAAATCTCTTAACGCTGTTTGATGATAACCTAACCGCTAATGCAAATTCTCTGTTTCTGAAAAATCGTTCACTCTATTTTTCAACCTCTTCACTCTGTTATGTTACTTCAGCTACCTTAAACTACTAAATAATATCGTTAACATCCCTTTATAAATCGTTATTATTTGACCTTGCAGACAATCAAAGAATTGCAGAGGCTCATATACATCTAACAGACATCTCGGAAATAATAATAACCGATATCACTTTTCTCTGGTCCATATAAGCTACATAGTTGACCAAAGCTAAAGGACGTCGAAGGAAATGTTGACGATATTTATATGAAATAAAACAGACAGAGTATGTCACTACAATTCAGGTGATGAGGAACGTCATGTAGATGAGGAACGTCCAAGTAGAAACAAAATTTGTTCTGACGCGTAGCTATAAGATCCAAAAGTCGTAAACAGATAGTTATTCTATTAGGAAAGTTTAAACCACTAGTGCATTGCAATCTGCATGTGATACAGTTTCTAATAGGAAATGACAACTTCGTTTCATAGGCATATGTATGAAATATCAGCTGTGATATCTTTAGCAAGATGATACTGGTCCCAATTTCTGGTGCGACTTCCCATCCTCTGAGGTCTGAAAGCTGCTTTCCTGATACTTCCAAAGTGATACAACATCTAAATGTAAGACATTCTATAATTTGACAACTGTCACTACTCACTATGCTGCCAACATATTTATTGTATCGGCTTCCTTAGAAATTTGATTGAGAGGAACTCAATACGTATTCAGGATTACACCAACCGATTGGTATAAAAGTGTTTATCGATAGTAGTTTTAGTTCACAAACGTCTATATTATGACTGTTTCTAACTGCTTAGGCAATTTATTCTCTTAAGAACTGAAGGTACAAGAGAGATTTCAAAATACGCTTGAGTTTTCGTTATTAATTGGAAGTATTCACCTCTGAAACTATAAACTTTCGTAAACTTCACAAGTGAAATTATTATCCCACCACTGTGAAGAAAAACAGCAAACGGAACTGCACACAAATAATAAAACACTCTACCGACTTATGCAATAAAATTACTCCTAACAAATAAGTTATTTTATTAACCAAATAAAGGCCTTTAAATAAATATACTATTATGATAACCAACTATTTAACCATATAATGAATTTACACCCGATCACTATTATGCTTTTGACAACAATTTAGGGATACTAATAAAATCAACAGATATAGTTGTATGAAAGATGACCTAATGATGGACTATATCTGGAGTATATGTGGTCCAACAGTTTCAGTTCTCGACAAGGAAGATCAACACAACGAGTGGAAATAACTCCTTTTTCTGGTCAGTTATTTATTATTTTCATTCCCTAGGCGACTAATAATAAGTATAGCCTAATCTCTATTATGAAAACATATAAATAGTTAAAAAGTTGAATTCATTTGATTGATCAATAAAATTTTCTAGATGCTGATTTTGTCTTACCTGAAAATTGCACATCAATCCAGACTTCGTTAAAAAGAATATGATGAGCAGATTAAGTCATGAAGCGCTTATTCGTTGTTTACTACAAGATTCATCCAATATGTGAAGAAATATACACCGAACACTTCACTAGTAAGTTTCCAGACTACAACACTAGGCGACATGGGTGTGTATCTCAAACATGATAAAAGTTCCCTTAAGTTCTTAGCCACACCTTGATGACAATCATCACAAAACAAAACACCAAAACCCAAGGCTTCCTACTGATCATCTCCAACTACCTACTGTTATTATTATTAATGTTATTCTTTGTCCCTTGGGTTCCTAATGGAATATAGGGCTTCAGTAGCACGTCTCCAGTGAACTCTGTTCTCTGAAATCTTTAGAGCCCGGCTCCATGACAGCCTAGAAGCTCTCATTTTCTCCTCACACGATCTCCTCCATGTCACCCTCAGATCGGATGCCCAACTCGTCGCTTCCCATCGGAGTTCCACTCGACGGCCTGGCCTGACGCGTGATGTCCCCAGTCCGCCTTCTCACTGTATGCCCAGTCCATCTCCACTCCCTTCCAATGCATATCTGTTTGAGCGATAGCTTCTTGCTTCGTTGGTTCGTTCCCAGCTACAGTTTCTTGTTGCTCATTCTCATCATTCTGGCCATCTGATCTTCAGTAACGAGCCAGCGTAGACAGTTGTTGATGAATGTGTGTAGTTTGTTGTAAATCCCTTTCGTAACGCGCCAAGTATCTGAACCATCACACAGAAGCACTGATTTGACGTTGGTGTTGAAGATCTGGATCTTGTTCACGCTTCATGCTGAGTGGAGTGCAGTAGATCTCCACACTGGTTTCAAGTTAATGAAAGCCTGTCTTACTTTTCTGATTCAGACTTTGACATCCTCATCTGTGCCGCCTGTAGTTGAAACAGTGCTGCCTAGATATGTGAAAGAGACTACTTCCTTTAGGTTCCTCCCACCTGATTAACTAGTTCACTAGTTACTAGCCGGTCCCAAGTCCGGGTAAAGAGGGAAGTTTGGGCATAGGGCTAGCAACCCTACCCCGTAAAACCAATCCAACCGCTACAGAAACTTCAGATCACAGACAACTACCTAGGAAGAATAATTATTTTAGCATAACTAAGGCACGCTTACATACTGCGTAAACATGTCTCAGATAAAAAAACAAACGGGAAGACTAACCATGTGAGTTTAAAACGAAAATGCTCATTTTGTCTAGCCTCATACCACTACAAGGTGACTTACTTCGTTAATTTTTAATTTTGTAACCTTTTTTAACCGTCCTCTGTATGCCATATCTCTTTCTAGCAGATTTTCCATAGCCATCTTATGATCATTTCTTAATTCTTCTAGAGTAGATTCTAAACTGTGATAGTATGCCCAGAGTGCTTCACGATTAGCTCGAAATTCTTCAAGTGATGTTAATTCACTGGCTGTATAGGATTAAACAAAAAGCAGCAGTGTAAGTATGTAGTTTCAACTTTGGAATTCTCTAACAACAAAAGAGAAGAATTTGGGCATTATGTTAGAAATTTGCTCATTTGATAGAATACTACTTAATAAATGACGTTTTCAGCATGAATTTTTACTTATGTTCACATAAAGGTGAGTGTATGCACTCTGGTAAATCATTAAATCGAATGATAATGTGTTTTTTCAGCGGCAAACTGTTTTAATATGAAACTCCTGAAGCCTTAGTAGGAAATCACAGCCCATAGAGTCCACTGATTTGAGAGCAAAGGTAGATCTTAACCGATATTACTGGCTGATGGAACTATTGAACAATAAACTCCTAGACAGTGACTGAAATAATCGTCAGTGACTATGGAACCTGACGGTTTTAGACTAAATGTGGCAAGTGATACGCACTGTTGAAACATCAAACGAAAAGCAAACATCTCTCCAATTGTGTTTGCTTTTTAACGATGCGTCAGAGGTAGTGAGCTTATGATGAAAACACCTTCATGTTAGTTATTCCTCACATAACAACCGATAGTAAAGTGTGTTCACTTCATCATAATTAAATAAGCTATTTAGCAAACTAAAACCTCGGCTGGCTAACTAGTTCACTAGTTACTAACCGGTCCTAAGTCCGGGTAAAGAGGGAACGTTGGGCATAGGAATAGCAACCCGACCCCGCAAAACAAATCTAACCACTACAGAAACTTCAAAGCACAAACGAAATATAAAAAATAGTAAAAAATTATTCCTCGATGGAATCGGAGAGGCGAAATGACGCCAGTTGGTGAAAGCCTTCGGGAAGCCAACTGACCGATGTGTCTCCTCTTCTCTCAATGAAAGCGAAAGTAAACGTGGGGACATGGAATGTCCGCACCATGTTTGAACCCAGCAAGGCAGCCCAGATTGCAAACGAGATGAGAAGGCATCACATTGAAGTGTTTGGAATTTGCGAAAGCAGATGGAATGGGAGTGGACTCTCCAAACTGTCAAATGGAGAATCAATAATCTACTCCAATATTGTCACACAGACGACAACCACGAGCACAGCACACTGAGTTATGGAGTGGCTATCATGATGTCCCTCGATCAAGAGCATCGAAGGCTCTCTCTCATGCAGTGGGAACCAATCTCCTCCACGATCAGGATCATGACAGCAAGATTCGACTCAAAAGGAAGGTCACAATCATACAATGCTACCCTATGCACCTACAATTAATGCAGATGAAGAGAAGAAGGAGGAATTCTACAGACAACTGCAATCAACACTGGACAAGACCCCATCTCAGTTGGCGATATCAAAATTCTAATGGGTGGAGTGACAGGAATGCCAAACTGGGAGGGGACAACACAGGAAGAGAACTCATCATGCATCAAGAAGCATTCGGTGAAATGAACGAGAATGGAGAATTGTTTGCAGAATTCTGTGCATTCAACAATTTGGTGATTGGAGTAAGGCAGTGTGTTCAAGCACAGGGATATCCACAAAGCGAGCGACATGGATTTCACCAGACACCAGGACACACTACATTAAAAATCAGATCAATTTCATATCAATGTGAAGAAAGTGGACACACAGCCTACTTGACACAAGGTCAAGAAGAGGAGCAGATGTAGGATCAGACCAGTCACTATCTAGTCCAAGCAACCCACCTTCCAAATCAAGTTAAAAGCCTTCAAGGATGCTAATGATAGACCACAGTTGAAGTACAACACTCGGAAATTGAAGGACGAAACTACAAAGTAAATCTTCACGGCAGCCAGCCATCAAGACAAAATGGGAGATATCGAGGAACATCCCTGAAGAAACCTGTGTGGAAGAACACTGGAACTCTTTGAAAGAGATGTGGAAAGAAGGCTGCATAACCGTATTAGGAAGGAAGAAGAAAGAAGACAAGGAATGAATCTCGATGTATACATGGAAGCTGATAGAGAGGAGGATGATGAAGCAGAAGATAAACCAGTGCAAGGATGCACAACCACAAGAGGAACTGAGCACAATGTAAAAAAACACTGAAGAAGATTGCACGCAAAGACAAATGACACTTCTATGACACATTGGTAAATGAAGCAGGACAGGCTGTAGGTAAGAGAGACCTGACAACATTGTATCAAATAACCAGGTTACTCTCTGGAAGACAAGTGATCAACGCAGATGAAACCAATAAAAGATGAGGGAGGAAATATAATTACCAAAGAAGTTAACAAAGGAAACGATGGACTGACCACTTCAAGAAGCTCTTGAATCGACCACCACCACCACCTGCACTTCGTCCACAAATACCACCTGCAGCCGCTGAACTACAAGTGAACATAAATCCTCCAACAAAAATGGAAGTCCTGAACGCCATAAAGCTACTGAAATGTGGGGAAGCAGCAGGACCAGATGGGATCCAGCCAGAAGCACTGAAAACAGACACAGAGACAACAGCGGACATGCTCACACCACCATTGCAGAAGGTGTGGAAGGAAGGGAAGGTACCTGCAGGTTGGTTGGAAGAAGGGTTACCTTGTTAAACTCCCGAAGAAGGGAGACCTCAGTGTTTGCAAGAACTGGCGAGGAATCACTCTCCTGTCCACCCAAAGCAAGCAAAATATTTGGCCTCATCATCCTGGAGAGGCTAAAGGATGCAATGGATTCAAAACTATGACCAAAATAGGCTGGCTGGATTCAGGAAGTACAAATCATGTGCGGATCAAATTGCAACGATACACTACGCATCATCATAGAACAGAGTACAGAATGGCAGTCAACTCAACTCTACCTCAACTTCATCGACATTGAGAAGGCCTTCGACAGCGTCGACCGAGAGGTAATTTGGAAACTGCTTCAATACTACGGAATACTATAAACCTATATCAGCCTCATTCAACAACTATATGGAGACGCCACATACCAGCCAAGTAATTCACAATGGGAAGCTCAGTGATGCTTTTGAAGTGAAGGCATTGTTTCAACTACAGGCGGCACAGATGAGGATGTCAAAGTCTGAATCAGAAAAGTAAGACAGGCTTTCATTAACTTGAAACCAGTGTGGAGATCTACTGCACTCCACTCAGCATGAAGCGTGAACAAGATCCAGATCTTCAACACCAACGTCAAATCAGTGCTTCTGTGTGATGGTTCAGATACTTGGCGCGTTACGAAAGGGATTTACAACAAACTACACACATTCATCAACAACTGTCTACGCTGGCTCGTTACTGAAGATCAGATGGCCAGAATGATGAGAATGAGCAACAAGAAACTGTAGCTGGGAACGAACCAACGAAGCAAGAAGCTATCGCTCAAACAGATATGCATTGGAAGGGAGTGGAGATGGACTGGGCATACAGTGAGAAGGCGGACTGGGGACATCACGCGTCAGGCCAGGCCGTCGAGTGGAACTCCGATGGGAAGCGACGAGTTGGGCATCCGATCTGAGGGTGACATGGAGGAGATCGTGTGAGGAGAAAATGAGAGCTTCTAGGCTGTCATGGAGCCGGGCTCTAAAGATTTCAGAGAACAGAGTTCACTGGAGACGTGCTACTGAAGCCCTATATTCCATTAGGAACCCAAGGGACTAATAGTAATAATAATAATGCTTTAGCAAACTAAAACAATTCTAACGAAGCTCTAGAATCCGAACCAAAAAAGCAGACAAAGTAAAAAGATCAATAAAAGGAAACATGAGAAGGATTGGAATACATAAATTTATATCATGTTCAAGGTGTCCTCAATTGAAATATACGCTCGAGTATACACGATACCTTCGTATGAGCGGCAAATCTCATAACTCTTTCAGTAACTGGATCTTAATATGATAAATGAACATATGATCTTTTGTTTCTGAAAGTAACTAATACCTATCCCAATGAATTTCAGATAGGTGTATCCTAGATTCTTCTTCTAATCCGTATCAAATACAAACAACTACCTTACATCATTTAACATTATCACTGAAACATGCACTGTGGATGGTACTTCTTTCAGAAAGCGCACGGTAAGTTCACTATTAGTTATAAAAATGATAATCAACAAAAAGTCAGATTTATAATAATTTAGTCAAAATATTGGGGTAAATCTCATGAAATACATGAAATGACACATGTGGCATTTACTTACAGGCATCCTAGTACATTTACTATCTCAAACGAGTTTTCACTATACATCAAAATCAGTTGGCACTCGAAACCTGTTCGATCTTGGATCAAACCTCTAACAGAAACTGATTTGCGATTAAAACCGATAGCTACTTCCCTTCACCACACTACTCTACTCCACTGTATATTACTTCCGACAGAACAATTGCAAGTTTTAAGAAGATAACCAGTGGATCGCAGCATCTTAATCACTTTTACCATTGATGGCATTTCAGTTGATTTTTCTCGACTATTCAGCAAGCTTTTGGGATTATGACTTAAGGAAAATGAATTTACTTACTTAACAACCATGATTCTTCATGAAAGTGTGCCGCAAAACGTCTTGATGCAGCTAAATGTTTTCAGTTTTTCAAGGGTTATCCTAAAATATACTTAAGTCTTTTACTTATCAGCGACAATAACATCCATTATGCTAACGTAGAAGCAGAAAAACGAATTAGAAACTGGTATAATTAAATATTAGCTAGAGGCAATCGAGTTCACGTTAGCCCATCGGTAAAAATGTCAAAACGGAAAACTATGGTAGCCAAGGTGTCAAAGAAAAAGGTAGAGACAACTAGTGGAAGTTGATTAACTATCCTGCCTCTATACCCAATTAACTAGACTTAGAATGCTAAATTTACTTATTCTGTAAGCAAACAATTGACTGGTTTTCAATTGTTCTCACCCAACTCACGATCAAAAAAAGACAAGACTGATGCTTACTGTCATGAGGAAAACTTGCAACTGATTTTGAATCGTGATAAATACTTTGAGCTCAGCTTATTCCAATACATCTAACGTTGGTAAAAATCTAGTGCATGGTGAGAAATCGCTTCCAGATTCATTTCCTAATGAGAAGACATGGTCAAACAAACCAAGTGTGAAAACACTTAGTCATTGATGGAAATGAATGAAAACCAGTCCACGATACCATTTGACAGAAGATAGAGACATAAACCACTGAATTTCAAGCCAGATCTAGAAAAGTAAGCTGCTGACTGGAAGATTCAATAACCCTCTATTCAATCCCACCTGGGGTCTTGGGTTCACGCTACTCACAAGTTCACAACTTGAAGGAAACAAAAGGATTCAATACTTTCACCTTTTTCAACGGTTCTCCAGTTCATTTCAAATCATGATTCATACTTCGAAATCAATTATCAATAAGACTGAAACATATTTACATGTGAATTATAGTTTCAAATTCATAACTTTTTCGAAAGTTATGATGAATGAGCTTTGTAGTGATAAAATAGAAACCTTTGAACACAGCTAATCGGAAATACTTTGCAAATAACTTCTTGCCAATATATTTTTAAGAATAAATATAGTAATTCGTTATACTTGATTCGGCCCTCAACTTCTTTCAGGACATTCGTAACAACTATGACCTGGATGTTTATAATCTTATAGGTATAGTAATATTGCCAAACATGCTTGTTTGCTGAGGAAATTTGTTTGGTTTTGGCCAGCAGAAGAATCCAGGACGTGCATGCATGCACATCCAGCTGACGAGTCCCAAGTAGGATAAAACACGCATCTTGGATTCTTTTGCTAGCCACGACCAAACAAATGTCCTTAATTCATATTCAGGCAATATCGAGCCAACCGCATAGGAGCCCATATACCAGTACAGGTCTAATAATTCGATCCAATGAAACATCGGAGAATTCCAAGTATGTCAATAAATACTTGTTTGCGTTTAAAACAATTAGTTCGCTTGATAAATGTGCTTAGTATGCATAATAAATTGTCAAAAAGGTATTTTGAGTTATCCTATGTCACATATATACTTGTAACAGGTACTAAAGTCTCAGAATATAAAGTTTATAGGTGATAAAATGGAAAGAGATCAAAGGAAAAGGCTAAACTGAAGACCAAAGTAAAATTCATAATAAATTGGCCTTGCTTTTGACAGCTGAGTTTACTAAAGACGGTTTAGATCAATGACGAAATGTTTGTAAACACATAAAGCAGGTTTAAGCTTATCAATCATAAAATCTTTTCTAATCTGTAGTGAAACCTATTGAATTGATGAACTCCTTTGACGGTTTCATGTTTGTCAACGGTTTATTAAATCCACTATTGAGGAGGAATTAACTTCCACTTCTCACTTCTCATATGTGATGTTGAAGAGGAAGTGTGAGGATTAACTAAAAAGGTCAATGAATCGCAGGCCAAACTGGGCGGAACAATTCACCAAATTTAGAAAAATAAACTTCCTCCATTCTATATGCTCCAGAATTCAGAAACTCCGCTCAGAAGATATGGTGAACGATGAAACTCTCAGAACAACACTGTGGATACCTCAGATATTAGTAAAAAACATTAGAAATCAAATTACCACTCACTCATAGTTCCCTAGAAAATTTTAATTAGGAATTAAAGATTCCAAATGGGTGCCATGAGTGAAACAGTGAACAACCAACTATCGAAATGCATCAAAAATACTTTCTGTTCCGATGGTTTACGGTTAGCATTCTGGAGGTAACGTTCAGTTCGACAGTATATGAAGAGTAGACTTCAGCTTACATCCACATTTATGTCTATCTCTATATTCATATGCTGCTGAAAGGTTGACTGTCTTGACCGTTTTAGTTGGGTCCTCCAGAAATGCGTTAATCAACAGCGTCTAGTTTGATTTACCAAAGATGAGAAAAGAAAAACAGCTATATCCATATGTGACCGAACACCTAATAGAGACGGATCATTCGTCTCTTCGTACTTCATCTTTCCAGTCAATTTACATAGCAACGTTTAAGCATACATAAACACTAAACGAAAACTCTGTAATCGAAAGTGTTCCGTGAAACATCTTTCGCTGCTTTGGTCGTAATAATGTATTTCTTTATCAAGTTTATTCCACTCAACGTTTTCGATATTTCACTTTGATCATTGTTTTACACCTTTTTGACAGTACTTTACCCATATTCCAAATTTTCAGATTAGTTCTAGCTTTTTAATGACTCTTTGCAGTTTGTCCATTTAACTCAATACCCTCAACATTACCAATCGTATCATCTGTATCCTGATTGTACAACTTTTAAGTGTGATTACCTCAATTTCTGAGTGACTCTAAAAGCTACTGCACCAACGAGTAGAATAGCCAGTTAACTTTTTTTATTTTGGTTGAAAGGTAGATTTCTGTTAAATAAAGAAGTCTTATTGGCTATTTCACTTGTTGTTAGCGTGGCCTTTAAAGCCACTCGAGTTTTTACAACTTATGAATACAACTGTGCAGCTGGATAATAAAACTGTAGAAAACAAATATTTCCTCACGTAATCTTGTCCTCATTTTTCATAAACAAATAAGATGCCTTTAAATAATGGAGTAACTGCGTCTTCCGTTCCTGGACTTCTTCCAGTGTACTGTAATGTGCCTTGTTATTAAAATTCATTTACAGATATCAGAAGTGCAACGTTTGAAATTCCAAGTGTTCCTACGGTCACGCTTGTTAAATTTTACCGAAAGTCTTACAAGAATAAAATGATTCATGCTGAATCAAATTTTATTTTGTGTGTGAAAATTTTCATCACCTTACCTAATGCTATATTTTCTGCAGTCATTCTTTCTTCAGTGCACTGTTTTAAAAGTTGTAATTCATTTTCTCTAGACTTCCATTTTTCAACATTTTTTCTAAAGACACATTTTACACCTTGTATGCGCTCAATTAAATCAGCTGCTTCATTGATTCTTTGTTGAAATACTTTATTGAGTGTCTTAAAATTATCACGACATTCTGCATCAGTTAACTGTAGCTGAAGTAATACATAAAAAAACATGAAAGGTGAATTATTATTATTATTATTATTATTATTATTATTATTATTATTATTATTATTATTATTGTTATCATAATTATTATTATTAATGAAGCTTATGTTTCCCCTCAGGAATACAAACCACAAAACCAATAGAAGAATAACTCGAGACTGTGGATTACTGACTAAATATTCCATCCTACTTCCGAATGCCTTAGAACTGATAAAACTTCATTCCTCTGACGGTTGGACACCTGGACATCAAGTATCGAAGTGACCGCTTTGTAATTTTGCAGTTGCGTCAGACTTCAGTATGCAGAACCTTTTAGATTCCATTTAGCGTTTGTGATATAATACAAACACTCTTGATTACGGCTAATAACTACTTTAATCACTTTTTCAACAACTGATGTAGTAACTTAGTGGATCAACTAAATTAGAAGTTGGTAAGGGTATTGACTTAAGACATTACACGATAGCAGTGCTGCATAGAATGTTATCTGAAGTTGAAGTTGAACTGCCCTTAATTCATACGTCACTCTAAAGGATAAGTTTTTCAAAGTTGAGTAAACGTCACTGACTAGGTGCTCAGATGCCACACGTCTTACGGATCTATTTCTTCCTCTTTCTAACTAAAGTGTTGCTAAACACTTTTGGTCAAAGCATATATGGAATGGTTAGGAGTGTGATCATTTAGACCGACTCTCTATTATGTAAATTTCTGTTATATTTCGAAAGGCAAATGAATTACAACGAAAACTTGTGATTATGAGTGATTCTAGTCAGCCAGGATCACTTTACGACAAAGCATTGCCGCATAACAGTTGAACTTGTCGCACAACATATCGTTACAATAAGATCGAAAAATAGAGAAATAAAGTACAACTGGGATTCGGAAGGTCATGAAAGGACAAGAGTAGCGAGTGAAGCAATTAAAGAAAGTCGTTATCATGAAAAGAACGGAAATAATATGTAAATGCACCTGAAGAATTGACATCGATTCTATGAATCTTCACCTTCAGTGTCCATTAAAGTTGCCACACAGACCCCATTCGGGAGGTCTACACCTGCCTACACTGCTCAGAACAACAGCCAAAGACCTCATGATCCGATCTCATATCCTTGTCTAGCCGCCAGTATCATTTTACCAGCCTGACTCTGCATCAGCTAACATAGTGTGACGGGCCACATAGTGACTAGATATGCATAACACATCCCCAAGCCACCTCAGACGATGATTGTTCATAATCATTAACTGACTTTCTTATTCTGCCTACAACTCTGTACCTAACTTCCACGTTACTCGAGTGTGGCATCATGACACACGGCCCATACTAAGAAGTCAAAGGTGATCAGATATATGAAGCTTTCTCATATCGTCTACTATTAAGCGACCTCTTTCATAACCACATATTAAAACAAAACAAAGTGCACCGCAGTACACTTGACCCTTAATACACAGTCAGATACCACGGCAGCGAGGAAGTTAACAAACGTAAATCAAGCCGTTTTTCCGTGGAAACATTTCTTCGGTCACTGACGCACCTAACAGCACTATGTGTTGTGTCGACTCTAAGTTAACTAAAGATCCTAGTTGGATAAGGTCAATCTCCGTGAAGTCAGATAAAGGGGAAAGGGAGACTACAATACATCAAAATTAAAGAAGAACGGAGAATGGACATTCTTGACGAGCGATAATGGATTGATACAACTCACCTAATTACTCATCATAAGCTTTGGCAAGCTCATCGGCCCTCGATGATGTTGTAGCTAACCGGCAACCCTTTCGATGAGAGCTATTATCACTATACATCTTCACCGAAGAGTCGAACATCATTTCCAGGTAAAGAAATACAACAATGTCATTTAAGGCGCACATATACCGAGATTTGATGCAGAATGAAGAGCTGGTCTTTATACTTATTAGCATGTTACAAATCTGTCTGGTATTCTTAGGCTTGTATTTTCAACGCCTAACACAGGTATCCGTTTACTAAAGAACCTACAACTCACAACCCAACGTTCGTTCGTTTGAATCTCTCGTCGTCACCGCTAGAGGATTTCTCTCTACTTAAAGACTGAAACAGAAAACAAGACATACAAAATCAACGTAGAACCACATCTTCAAAAGCATCAGTTCCAGTGCTCACAATTCACAGTAATATACGATGAACAGGTGAAAAAAAATAAAATCAAAGAAGACAAAGATGTATGGCAGAATAAACAATTTAAAATCAAAGGTTAGTGCAAATATTCAAGCCACAGAAGATGTAAAGAAGTGAATACATCTGCGCCACGGTGAACGATTTTAAGCCACGTCATTGAGGGTCCTCAACCAATCACTCCCTTCACCTTCAGGACCTAAGACAGGCAGTTCACACTTCCCTACACGACGCAAAACAACAGTCAGAGACTACATGCACTGCTGCCACGAACTTGTCCGGAGATCTTGAACACAATTCATCGTAATCCAAATTCTTCTAGCAAGTGGGCGATGGCTTGGTATGCAAAATATGTGTCTAAGCCATCCAAGTCGACTAAGGTACACAAAGTCACCACCTGACTTGCCTGTCTAAACTCGGTCCATTCTCCTGACATCAAGGTTGTCAAAACAGTGATTCAACCACACGCAAACAATGCAATAAATACATCTGTGACCCGAATCCACTAATCGCTTCATGTCTTCTAATTTCAATAGCCATGTCTCAAAACGTCACAACAGGACAGAACAAAATATAGTGCAGTATACTCATTTCTTTGCAGATAGGCGGATACCTTCCAGGAAGAACAGGTGACGCAAAATGAAAAATGACAACTGCAGCTTCTTTATCCGAGTTGGGATTCGTAAGCAACAACACACTTCGAGATAATCCAGCTACCCCGTGTATCGTCAGCGTATCCACTGGCATCAGCATACACGAAGTTAACCAGAAGACTTCCAATGAGGTAGGTAAATCGATGTCAAGTCACACGTGTCTGCGTACGTCTATGATGAAGTTAAGTAGGAAAGGTAACATTGGACATCCCTGGCAAACACCACTAGTTGTCTTCACTTCTGATATCAACTCTCCAGAAGCCCTGACATGGCTGGATGAATTCGAGTAGAGAGCTATGATTAGTACTGCACATATTCGCTCCGTACTCCTCTCACAGTCAGACACTGACACAATGCCTCACGGTCAACTGAGTCAAATCCCGCCTGCCTTCAGATCAACATACATGATAAGCGTCGGTCGCCGGTAAGCATCCCCATGTTCCAGAACCTGGCGGAGAGTGGAAATATGGTCCGTTCACCCTCAACTAGCTTTGTTTAAAACCTGCCTGGTTTTCTCGAGTTTGTTGTTCTTGAGCTCCAATTAGGCGTCGGACAACTATGGACACTTGCATCTTGGACACAACACTAGTCAAACTATCTCCCTTATCGTTGTCATAAGAAGGTTTATTTCACCTTTTACTGACTCTGATGATCATTGAAGCACACCGGTCTGACGGCACTACCTCTGATTCCTACACACTACGCAGTACCTCCATCACTTGAAGCACCAATTTCTTACCTCCTTCCTTCATAACCTCAGGTGCAAAAACTGTCACCTCCTTATGCTTTGCATTCTTTCAGGTTCATTACACCTTTCTCAACTTCATAGAGACTCGGGGAACCAACATCTACGTCTCATTCAGCTTCAGGCTGAATGTTAGACACCTGAATTCTTCATGACGGCCAGTTCAACTGTGCTTCTAAGTGTCCTGACCAACGTTATAGCCACCCGTCCTGAGAGGTTAGCACTCTTCCATTCTTAACGGTGATGGTTTCACTAACCATCGTCTTCTTCTCACCAGTATACTTAATCACTATTACCCATAGTTGATGCCTTCTCCGTCTCTCTCTCGCTTTCACCAACCACCACTGCTCACGATCGACACGAAGACTCTTGGTCAGCCAACGTTCAATTTACTTTCACTCTTCACCATGGTCACAGTAAACTGGAATCAATCAATCAATCTCGCATCAATCAGTTCCGATGACGTTTGCTAACCACTCGGTGTAGGTTGTCGGCTGTTTCGACAGCAGACTTAATATCATGTCCGGTTTCCTCACGATCAGCATTGCTGTCACCTTCCGATAAACGCCTAGTTAACTCCTCTCTTGATGCTATCATCTATCAATCGAGCGTGGATCGGCCTCGCTACTTCCTTTCCCTGTGACCAGTAAGGGGCAGACATACACGCGCCCCTACTAGCGCGTATTCACAGTCAAAACTGGTATTCCACAAAGAACGCAAACCCCCTACAACAACAGCTAACAGCAACATCGTCTCTCTTTCTTTCTTTAGTGTTGACTTGAAGTCTGTGAACACCATTATGTGACAGTGTCTCTCCTTATCCCTAAAGTCATTCATGACCAGAAACAAATGAGTGTTGGGACAACATTGTAACAGACGATCACCATAGTGGTTCGTTGATATGGGATTCAATAAATACCTCCAACATGTCTCTCCGATTGCCTCAGCTCACCTTTTCTACTTCACCCTCCAAGTCACCTGCTTTTACGACTACATCTGAACGTTTTTGCTTCCTGTAGCAACATTTACAGCTTCTCATTGAATTCATTCTTCCCATCACCCCAACTGCAGTCGGTGGGTGTGTAGGCAGAGATTACCAATAAATAGACAACGCTTTGTCTCATGATCCTTCCGAGTCCTCACACATCTGTCTAGTCCAACAGCACACATAGATGCCTGTTGACTGGTATCAAGTCGAGAAGCCAACCTCATGCTCCACAACTCACTGTTATGCCTAAACCTATGACAGCACGAGATCTAATCACTAGGTTTCCGGATACTCGTTAGGTGAATTTGAAGATTCATCACTATGGCCAAGAAGGGTCAATTTAATAACCACACTCAGGACCTGCATACGTATCTCACAGACCCAACATACATACATCCATCGATTGAGATTCCACAGTTCTGACCAGCAATTCCTGCTGTCCGAATCGGCATACAGTTCGGACTTTGGGGGCACCTACATGAAATCGACAGCAAGTCACAGGAGACTAGAGATGGGTTTCGATGACTTCAATCGTTGGCAAAGGTTTCAGAATGAGAGGTTGGGAAAGGGTCAAGAGGGTTAATGTTAGTAACAGGAGATGAAGGCAAATGAAGAGACACAGTTGAGGGGATATCATCTTGTGTTTCATTGGGTCTTGTATATTATCAGAAGCTTGAGGACGGTTGGCACTTTCCGGTGCCTCACACCATGCAAGGTTAGTTCTTTCTTCTTGAGGTAACTCAAAAAGAAAAGGTTTATGTGACCACAGAGAACATGGGATATTTGCTTCAGGCATGTTATATACGATGTTTGTGGGATGTTGTTTTGAGGTTTGGTTGTTGTAACGACAGTCAGAGAGGACTCATAACGCCGGTACCGGATAACTGTGGCACAGGAGGTGTTATTTTCAGGGGCAAACCTTTTCTAACCCCCCTTCCCATTGGGAGGGTAGCATGAGCGTGAAACTGCTGGTTAACAGCATAGCTAGTTTGGTCATTGTGATATCCAACCCCAACCATCACGCGCAGTTTAGTAGCTATTGGTCGGGAAAGACTAAATCAATCATCGATTGAGACTAATCGCAACCCAGTAAAACAGTTCTGGAGCTCTAAGTACTATTGTTAAGTACTTCTGATTCAGTTGATCAAAGGCCCTTAGCGTTTCCTTACTTCAATCTATTTATAGTCTTCGCAAAATCTATGAGGGTTGAAGGTAGTATATCAATATTCGACCCAGAATGTGGGCGGATAATGGTCAACTGAAGACTAGTAATTTGAACTGTTCCTTGAAGTCTTCCACCCATCGTATATCCTGCAAATAATCCATAAAACTCAACCTTTTAACTAGCCATTGACGTTTTCCCATCAGTCTACTCCTAAATAAGTGTATAACGTTAAAACCGCGGCTTTTGCTCTTCCTCTTCAACATTCGTTGCTCACGGTCAACACATGAACATATTGTTGGATTCATTTTCAACAGCTTCCGCTCCTATTTTGCCTAGAGCCTGCAGAAGTTCAATCAGGTGCACCCATAATTTAGGATGCAGTGGCTGAGATACACTGACCATTCCCAACCTTATTCTGAAGATAGAAATTGTCATTCTCCCGTAACTATTTAGCCAGCTACATATTAAAATCTTCCTAAGGATAGCTATAACCCTAAACTGGTAATAACTTGCTACCAGCCGAGGTCTTTCCACAAATATTCAGGTGCAGGTAACTACTCGCTAGAACCAACACGTGGTGAACATCCGACCATATGCACCAATAATAGCGATATTCTTCCACCGTTCCTCTCCAGAGGAGACAGTAATACTGCTAATGCTTACAACATTTGACGCCCTGTCAGACAATGTACATGCTTAAATCTGTAAAATGACATGGCCAGAAATACGTGGTTGTCTGAGCACAGTTGTAGCAGGAGGTCACTATTACCCGTTTGTTCATCTGGTATTTGGAAATTACCACCTAGGTGCCTTTCTTCTCAGTTAAGTCTTCTTAACTTTGTATTGAAATCTCCCGCTACGACAATCATATCTCACCACTTAGACTTCAATAGAAAATGAGACAGACGGCTGTGAAACGCAGTGAGTGCGTGGGCAGTTCAACAGGGCAAACACAACTGCTAACTGACATCCAACTGAGAAAAGCACTATCTGCCTTAGGATTTAACGCTATGCCTACACCTACGAAACCAAGAGAACTAATCATCGATTCTCGAAATGCTAGAAGGGTAAACTTCCCAGAACGTCAAGTTGGTTCATTCTTATGTACATTTTTCAAAAACAGAGGATACATCCATTATTCAAGGTATTGCAATTTTGACTAACAGAATTTTTCTTCCAATTCGGTGAGGAGCATCGACACACAAAGCTCAAGTGTGCACTTACGAACACGGTTCTGGGAGACCGGCTATGCCATTTCCTTAACATGAATGCTTGAAAACCAATTCACAGTTAGGAAAATCGAAAACACCACACAGAATTACTAACATAGGCACGTGAAGAAAGCTCAGAAGACAAAGACATCATGGTAGTGGTAATCAGGAGAAACTCATTTGCTGACCCATGTATGACAGTGACTGACAATTCTGGACGACACATACCGTTGGAGATGACGCTTCCTTATCACTGAAATAGCTAAAAAAGACTTGATTAGTGAGTGGCCCGATTGACCTGCTTACTGCCCATCTACGGAGACCAAAGCACATGTGCTTAAGGCTGGTCACACACGGTCTTCTGGTAGTTTCAAATTTATTTGACTGTTAATTTTTGACACCAAAAACCCGTACCATCATAACCAGAAGACCGCAGTTCAAGGATAAGAGTGTTACTTTCACTAGCAACCTTTCCTCACCCTCACTTCCAATAAGGGAAAGCAGCATGAGCATGGAATGTTGATTATCAGTGAGATTCATCCTACTGATAAGAGAATGTCTTACTGCTTTTATATAACATAAATTCAGTAGTACAGACATCTACCCTAACGTCATATATATTTGCACTATACTGACAATTAGTCTTAGTCTTTATACTATCTATAATCCCTTTTCAATCATACTAAAACTTCAAGAGATAATTATTCTCAGCAACATAGCTTGGCGGGTCACTATTACATCCACATCTGACCATCAATCCAACATCAAGACCTTTACTATGTGACCACTCGCTATTGCCTATAGAAAGAACTCGGAATTCAAATAAAATCATAGCATATGTGATTATCTTTCGGATGAAAGTTAGAAGCAATATCGAGTATTTCAGATGCTAACTTTTCTGCCGTAAGATTATTCATTTGAATGATGATTAAACAAACTCTATTGGTTCTAATCATTAACTCTTAGGTTACTTTCGATAACGCATGTCTTTCAAATCATCTTATGAAATCTCCTATATTGGTCTCCAACTAAGTGTATCTAACACTACCAGAGGGACAAAGTTATATGTAAGAGTATATTAATATTCTCAGCAACAAAGAATTGATAAACGAAATACAGAAATCAAGTAGAATGCATTTACCATTAGAATTCCCCCACGATAGTACTACTAATCCACTGAATGAAACCAATCAGGAATGCTCTAATACCAGGCACAGCATTTCAGTCTACTCAAGACTCGTCAACCGTCTTCAGTTATCAAACCTTATTCATTTTGATAAATTAACTATTTTACATAAGGACATTAATTACCTTTGCCATTATTTCTTCATTTTGTGTGTACAACTCACTGATATAATTTTCATATGCAGTTACTTGTGTTTCTAATTGTCTAATTATAAAAAGATAATAGTCTCGACCAAGTGATTCAATGGCTGCATCGTCCAATTCATCAATGTGCTGTAAAAGTTCATCCCTGTTGTTGCTTAAGTCTAACTGATTGTTGGACCGTCTACCAGTGGATTTTCGCGGACTGTTCCCACCTGCACTTTTTCTGTTTGACTTATTCTTTTTAGGTGGCTAGAAATGATCAGGAAAATGTAAGAATAAAGGATTTTAGACAGCTTGAAAAGTTTGCAAAGAAAAATACACCTAACAACAGTAAACACTGAAGAGATAAATAAACAGTAATTTCAATATTAGTATTTTGCTTGATAAAGTGCAATTATGTTAGTCAATGTGATTATAAATGACAAAAATATGTTCATTAAAAGGTTGCACGATATAGAAAGTTTAGTAGCCAGATAAGGGACTTGATCGATAAACTCTGGTCAGCACTAAAAGCTCACTAGTTGACAGCTACATCGGTCACCATCTTACAGCAGGTCATTTCGGAAATGTCCAACTCTTTACCGAAGGAATATGTGTTTGATAACACTTTTTGTGTTCTTCTAGCTTTGAGACTTGTTCGAAGGTGTTTCACCACTAGAGTGATCGACTTCATCAGTGTTTACTTCATAAGGAACTGAAGCATTTTCATGTTACATGAATGTTTATGAAGGATATTGGATGACCTTAGGATTTATTGTCTTGTGGGTAAGGATGACTTTTCCCTCTTTTTATCAGAGGTTGACCTTTAAAATTGCTGCTGTCGTTTGATCTACCCTGTTAACCCAATGTCTAATAATTAATTAGTGTCGATAGTAATGTTAATATAGCCGTTTGACAGCTAGTTAGTGCTCATAAATTCTTCGGGCTATTCGAGGACTGGATCGGTTAACATAATGGTTTTGCGAGTAATTTTGTAGACTATATTCGTCTTGTCTTCCTTCAGTGATGGATCAGTTATTTGTGTGGTACACCGAAACCAAATGAATAAAGTGACCCGTTTACAGTTTCTGAGATATCTTTGGTATATGGTAAAGTGAGGATTGAGGTAATTTTCTGAGCTTTGTTCTCTTGACAGACATTTCTTAACGAAGTTGGCTCGATAGTAATTGGTTCTGAAAACTCTGTAAAGTTGTTTTTCTTCTGACTTCTCTAGTTGCTGAGTACTGTAATGGGTCTCGACAAGTGCTTGTACACATCTCTTCTAGTTAAGAAAATGGTTTGTTACAGTCTTAATCCCATTTTAGTTGATTCATTAGATATATCTCTATGTGTTGCAGTTCGAAATTTGATATATGTTTCACCTTCTTGTAAACGTTAGTCTGTAAGGTTCCATAATGTGATCCACTGATAAGAACGTGTAGAAATGCGATTTATTCATTTGATTTTTATTTCGTGAACTAAATACTTTCAAAGGTTTGGTCGATAAGACTGAACGAGTTTCCCAATTCACTTGTTTTGAGATGACAGTTGATCCTAGTCTCTGCGATCAGTCCAGATATTGGTGAGACAATGGCAGATCATTTCATTTGTCAGTAGATCTCCTCGTTAAACTGAAAATACGTTGAGATAAATAGGCTAACTATTTACGCCAAGTTTATATTGGTTGCCTTCGCGTACTTTGGAAGATTCCGATAAATACTGAGGAGGATTTCCATTAGTTATATGGTGTAATGTGAGTTGATTGACATGAGTGCTGCATTATCAGAGAATACCACTTTACGTCGTGATCTATCCATCCAAGTCGACTAAGGTACACAAAGTCACCACCTGACTTGCCTGTCTAAACTCGGTCCATTCTCCTGACATCAAGGTTGTCAAAACAGTGATTCAACCACACGCAAACAATGCAATAAATACATCTGTGACCCGAATCCACTAATCGCTTCATGTCTTCTAATTTCAATAGCCATGTCTCAAAACGTCACAACAGGACAGAACAAAATATAGTGCAGTATACTCATTTCTTTGCAGATAGGCGGATACCTTCCAGGAAGAACAGGTGACGCAAAATGAAAAATGACAACTGCAGCTTCTTTATCCGAGTTGGGATTTCGTAAGCAACAACACACTTCGAGATAATCCAGCTACCCCGTGTATCGTCAGCGTATCCACTGGCATCAGCATACACGAAGTTAACCAGAAGACTTCCAATGAGGTAGGTAAATCGATGTCAAGTCACACGTGTCTGCGTACGTCTATGATGAAGTTAAGTAGGAAAGGTAACATTGGACATCCCTGGCAAACACCACTAGTTGTCTTCACTTCTGATATCAACTCTCCAGAAGCCCTGACATGGCTGGATGAATTCGAGTAGAGAGCTATGATTAGTACTGCACATATTCGCTCCGTACTCCTCTCACAGTCAGACACTGACACAATGCCTCACGGTCAACTGAGTCAAATCCCGCCTGCCTTCAGATCAACATACATGATAAGCGTCGGTCGCCGGTAAGCATCCCCATGTTCCAGAACCTGGCGGAGAGTGGAAATATGGTCCGTTCACCCTCAACTAGCTTTGTTTAAAACCTGCCTGGTTTTCTCGAGTTTGTTGTTCTTGAGCTCCAATTAGGCGTCGGACAACTATGGACACTTGCATCTTGGACACAACACTAGTCAAACTATCTCCCTTATCGTTGTCATAAGAAGGTTTATTTCACCTTTTACTGACTCTGATGATCATTGAAGCACACCGGTCTGACGGCACTACCTCTGATTCCTACACACTACGCAGTACCTCCATCACTTGAAGCACCAATTTCTTACCTCCTTCCTTCATAACCTCAGGTGCAAAAACTGTCACCTCCTTATGCTTTGCATTCTTTCAGGTTCATTACACCTTTCTCAACTTCATAGAGACTCGGGGAACCAACATCTACGTCTCATTCAGCTTCAGGCTGAATGTTAGACACCTGAATTCTTCATGACGGCCAGTTCAACTGTGCTTCTAAGTGTCCTGACCAACGTTATAGCCACCCGTCCTGAGAGGTTAGCACTCTTCCATTCTTAACGGTGATGGTTTCACTAACCATCGTCTTCTTCTCACCAGTATACTTAATCACTATTACCCATAGTTGATGCCTTCTCCGTCTCTCTCTCGCTTTCACCAACCACCACTGCTCACGATCGACACGAAGACTCTTGGTCAGCCAACGTTCAATTTACTTTCACTCTTCACCATGGTCACAGTAAACTGGAATCAATCAATCAATCTCGCATCAATCAGTTCCGATGACGTTTGCTAACCACTCGGTGTAGGTTGTCGGCTGTTTCGACAGCAGACTTAATATCATGTCCGGTTTCCTCACGATCAGCATTGCTGTCACCTTCCGATAAACGCCTAGTTAACTCCTCTCTTGATGCTATCATCTATCAATCGAGCGTGGATCGGCCTCGCTACTTCCTTTCCCTGTGACCAGTAAGGGGCAGACATACACGCGCCCCTACTAGCGCGTATTCACAGTCAAAACTGGTATTCCACAAAGAACGCAAACCCCCTACAACAACAGCTAACAGCAACATCGTCTCTCTTTCTTTCTTTAGTGTTGACTTGAAGTCTGTGAACACCATTATGTGACAGTGTCTCTCCTTATCCCTAAAGTCATTCATGACCAGAAACAAATGAGTGTTGGGACAACATTGTAACAGACGATCACCATAGTGGTTCGTTGATATGGGATTCAATAAATACCTCCAACATGTCTCTCCGATTGCCTCAGCTCACCTTTTCTACTTCACCCTCCAAGTCACCTGCTTTTACGACTACATCTGAACGTTTTGCTTCCTGTAGCAACATTTACAGCTTCTCATTGAATTCATTCTTCCCATCACCCCAACTGCAGTCGGTGGGTGTGTAGGCAGAGATTACCAATAAATAGACAACGCTTTGTCTCATGATCCTTCCGAGTCCTCACACATCTGTCTAGTCCAACAGCACACACAGATGCCTGTTGACTGGTATCAAGTCGAGAAGCCAACCTCATGCTCCACAACTCACTGTTATGTCTAAACCGTTGACAGCACGAGACCTAACCACTAGATTAATGAAGGCATATCTTGCTGTCTTCTCGGATCCTGAAATTGACATCTTCATCTGTGCCACCACCACCACCACGTTCTGTTGAAGCGATATAAGAGAATTCTATTGGTTTCGCCCGTTGATGGTGCTTGTTGCTTGCTATTCGTTAGGTATCTTCATCACCTCTGTCCTCTCTACATGCTCCCGTGGGAAGTCCTGTCTTCTTTCGCTGCCTAGCCTTTTCTGCAAACTTTTTGGTTCTCACCTGTTTATCTTCGAGTTTGTACAAGAAGACATTAGACATAAATCATCATTGGCGGTGAAATCTAAATATTCTTCTGGGGTCTTCTCACCGGTGAAACAGCGTATGCACATCTTCTCACAGTTGTCTGTTTCATGATCCAGTCCAATCAACCACAATCCGGAAGATCATCGGTGATAATGGGCGGCAACCTTGTCTTACTCCTGTCTTCTCTTCAAAGGCATCACTGAGCTTTCCATTGTTACTCACTCGGCATGTGGCATATAGCTGTTGAATGAGGCTGGTAAGGGTTCGCGATACTGCGTAGCGTTGAAGCAGCTGCCGGCCAAATTACTTCTCAGTCGACGCTACCGAAGACTCCCTCAAAATCGACGAAGCTGAGTTGGAGAGTTGACTGCCATTCTTCGCTGTTATATGATGATGCGTAATGCAGCGTTGCAATTAGGTCTGCATATGATTTGCACATCCAGAAGCCAGCCTGTTCCGGTCACAGTTTTCAATCCAGCGCATCTCTTGGTCTCTCCAAGATGATTCGGCTTAATATTTTGCTTAAGGTGGGTAGCAACATGATTCCTAGCCAGTTCTCTTTTCTTTGGAAGTTTGACAAGGCGGCCCTCCTTCCAGTCTGCAGGTATCTTTCCTTCCAAACCTCCTGCAGTAGTAGTGGTGTGAGCATGCCTGCTGTCGTCTCTGCATCTGTTTTCAGTGTTTCTGGAGGAATTCCATCTGGTCCTGCTGCTTTCCCGCATTTCAGCAGCTTTGTGGCGTTGAGGATTTCACTTCTGCTTTTGTCGTAGGGCATATGTTCATTGGTAATTCTGTGGCTGGGTTGCTAGTGGTATTTCTAGACGAGTTGCAGGTGGTGGTAGTGGTGGTCGATTCAAGAGCTTTTTGAAGTGGTCAGCCCATCATTTCTCTTCTTTGGAAAATTAAATTCCCGTCATCACTTTTTATTGGTTTCATCTGTGTTGATCACTTATCTTCCAGATAGTAAGTAACCTAGTTATTTGATACAATATTGTCAGGTCTCTCCTAGCTGCAGCCTGTTGTGCTTCACTTGCCAGTGTGTCGTGGAAGTGTCTTCTGTCTTTGCGCGCACTCTTCTTTACTTCTTTGTCCAGTTTGTAGTTCATAGATTGTGTTCGGTTCCTCTTTTCGTTGTTCATCCTTACACATGTTCATCTTCTGCTTCACCATCTTCCTTTCCTCTATCAGCTTCGACCTGTCCTTCGAGATCGAGAAATGAATAATTTGTAGATCTTAACAACCTCATTCGATTACATCATAAATCCATTCAGAATGTTTCCTGCATAATTAGAACTCCATATATCCTATGTTGACTCTTTCGCCTTTCATTTGATTACATGTCACAGTATTACCTTTTTCTTTTTTACCTTATTTATGCCCTAAACGCTCACGTTCGTATACTCTACTTGGAAAGTCCTACGCACTGCCTTCATGTGATGGATGTTTCCAGACAAGTTATAAGGTAAAGGCGAATGTTCGGCGCTATAACCACACTGGTGTACACGCATAGTACACCCAGGGAAATTGGAAAAAATATGACTTCAAACCAGTGGTAAATATCAGCTTCACAAACCAGAATGGAGTATTGGCGTATTATTTCGATCATCAACAACCATAGGAATGCAGTAGCTCACATTGCACCACTGCCTAGTGGAGCAGACTTTAAGTGAAAGACTCAGAAAGCGGTCTCTTGAAACAATAACCTACTCCGGTCTGGGCATCTACGTAGTACTTATGAATCAAGATTAACAATGAATTTTAGTGAATGCTCAATAAATATTCCAGCACGGATCGAAATTTAGAGTGTAACGAACTGTTTTTTCAATCATCCCACTTGTCCCCATATCATCATCAATTTCACTTGTGAACTACAATTTTCGTTATCATTTTTTTAAAACTTATCACTATATGCAACTTTGTTTCGCTCAGTTGCTTACCAATGACTGAAATTCCGGGTTGCTCTCATGGTTTTGAGCCGCCAAGTAGTTGCTTTCAAAAAGCTGTCTTTCAGTGTCATCTGTTACAACTATTCTGAAACCGCGAAAACTGCTTAGGCTGGCTTCAACTTTTGGGCCTTGATGCAGATCGAACAGTAAGTTAACTAGGACTGTGTGAAATATGCTGTATCTCAGCAAACCGTAACAAGTACTCAGTGAATTACTTCAAAAAACTTCCCCACCTGTCAGCCCAAAAAATGTAATCACACTGCGCTTACCCAGGGACTATGTGGCATCAGAAACCCGACTTACTGGTGCCAAATTTGGGGTTACAGCCGAAGGTCTGCTGGTTGAATGCCTTCCTATCAGCATTCGTCTGTACGCTGCTACTAAGTAGGTCTGGTTGGCGTGAGAAGTAACCAGCAAGGGAAACTGTCTCTTCATCTTAGCGTCTGACTCGATTAACTGCAGCCCGGATGCACTTCATAATGAGTTCTACCATCAGATGAGTGACCTCTACCAGGTAAGCTCAACATACCATAGCCCTCGGCCCTACATTAGTGACTGTTGTTTTACTATTTCTCATCATATCTTTCTGACAGAGCAGGATGACAGGAGATAGTGGTCCTAACCAGTATAGCTTGTGTCATCGTTATGTGCAAACTTCATCACATCAAGGTAGCAACTATCGGTCGTGACGGATGAATTTGCTGCACAGTTGATATAATTAACTATAAGTAATACAGTTTGCGAGCTAAAACGATGATAAGAGTCGAATGACCAACTTCATATTTTTGATTTCATTATTCTAAACACAAGCAGTATATGGCAGGTAGAACGAGATATTCAACCTCGGGTAAGCTAGTGCAAACATTTAGTGGTTAATCCGAAAAGTACCAATCGAACTAAAAATTCAATGTTTTCTCTTGGCTTTTCACAAAACCTATTCTGACTATTTTTAGAAAACCTACGTGAGGATATGAAGATGCTTGAGACATTTAACTACCCTCACCTTCGTAGCATTGCTGGTATATTGTAGAACCACCTAATTAATGTGGGCTTCAGTCACATGGTCTTATGTAAGAAGTAACTCGTTTGATGACTTTACGAACTTTCATGAAGTGACGTGACCTGAATATATTTGAAACATGGTGGAATGACTAGACAAAGATATTTCACTAATAAGACCTGACTTAGTCGTGTGCAGAGAATGCAAGTTTCCAAGATGGCGTTTGTGTCAGCTGACCCAAAGTTGCAGACTCTTGGTAAAACGGGGTCAGAATCGATAGCAATAGTGCAGACGCATTCGCTACTCACCATAACCTGAATCGCAAAGTCACATTTTTTGCACACTTCAAAACCTTTTCCTTTTCTCTCAGTTCTTTATAACCATATTCCTATATCTTTATCTTGTTACCTCATACCTTGACCTGCTGAAGACAAATGTGGTAACTTGGAAGCTCGTGCAGTTATATGCAGTAAAATGTTAACAATGTCTGAGGTGTTTTTTTTTGAAGTAGCAGATTAAATTAACCTTAGAAACATGAAATGTCAAACTTTACCTATAAAAAGATCCACAAAAATCTAACGCATTCAAACATGAAATGGCTGTACTTGTGTTAGCATTTCGATTCTAATCTGAAAAGTACGGGAGAGACAGATAAAATCAACTAAGAACCTCATACACAAGTACATCGGATCAAGTTACCATAATTCTCAGGGTCGTGACAAAAATAAGTGGGTAGGAAGACAGCGGTATTCAAGTAGACAAAGGTGTATGAGATGATAAACAATTTGAAAAGATTAGTGAAAATGTCTAAGCTTTAGAAAACGTCAGAGTGAGTATATCTGCGCCATTGTGGCCGATAATCAGCCAGGTCACCAAGCATCTCTAACCATTGATTCTTACCATCTCGAGGACCCCAACAATCTACACCTCAGACCAAAAGTTAGACGCTTCATGCGGTGGTGCCACGTATCATTTTGACCACCCTGAGGCTTCTTTCAAACCTACTAAGCTTCTGCTATCATTGCACGTCGAGGTATGTGGTGGCTCGACATTCACAATACATATATGTAAGTCACAACTGTTACTGAAAGTTCACAACCATGAAATAATGGGAAAGATTGGTGGCTCAGGATGAGGATCACGGTGGTTCGGGGTTCTCTGTACTTTGATATTTTGTTGTGGTCGTTTCATCGCCAAGCTTGGTGACATAAACCAAATAAAGAAGTGAAACATATTCGAATGTTATGTAAACGTCTAGGTTGTGTTTATACTGACCTTGAGAGTTGTACAATTATAAGTTGGGAAAGAGTTTCATAACTTCATCGATAGACTTGTCTGGGACCCTTCGCCTAACCTCTGCATTGCTCACAGGGTAATTCCACTGTACGTGAGCAATGCTGCAAAGAACTATGATGACACCAACGACCGTGTCTCACTACCGTATAACAGAACATAGCATAATGCATAGCAGTACACTGATCCTTTGACAGGTAGTCAGCTATCTTACCAGCCGGCGTCAGAGGTAACGTGACTTGACAAATTCCAAACGAACCTTCTGTATCAAAGCTGAGATCTTATCCATTACCAACTAGTTCAGGCTGACGCAAATCCCCGAATGAGTGAAGTGGTCGACTCATACCACTCCCTATTACAAATACACTAAACGGGATAACCCCATTTGTAACTTGACTTAGTAGTGCATTGTTCGTTGATTTTCCGAATACTACTCATTAGTCTAACTGGATCCATGAATACTAACAAGCATAGGAGTAAAACTTGGACAGTGGTAGCTTTCATTTTCATCTTTGATTATTAGATGTACCATACAACACTACAGTACTATTTATTGGATCCAGTACAAAATACCGTTTCAATGTGTTTAATAAACAACTAGAACGGAATATTATGAAGATTCAAAACTAAATGAAAGTTGAACCTAATTCAAAGATAAATAAGATACAGGGATCATTTCAGCATTTAACTAGTTCTAAATTCATTCAAATGTCATCATCAAAACAGGTGTCTATAAGTTCAATTTAAGGTCATCACAGGGAAAATCCAACCCAAATTCAGGCACATAAATTGCACATTCAGATTCCAATATGTATGACTGAAGGAATCTAGTACCTAAAATAACTGCATATAGTTCAATTGCTAAAGTAGGATCAGTTATTCACCTAGTTAAATAATCATTCATGAAAAATGTTAAGTTCAACAGAATCAACACAACTCTTTTGGTGTTTAATACTAATGGGAACTACACGTTTTAATCACACTGCAGACGAACACAATCATGTGGAATACATATTTACATCGTATTCTAAAACACGGAATTCAATACCTTTTATGACTGGAAGAGATACAGTACTTGCTAAGATTCCAAACATGCACAACATTTATTAGTTATGCTTAGTTACTGCTGAATAAAAGTGATTCTTTAGAAAAATAATTTGACCTTCCTCAAATTCTTATCTTCCACACAAAAAAGGGTTTTAGAAGCAAAGAGTAATATAAAACGGAGACACAGATCACTATATGAAATTGGACCGACAATAAATCCTTCTAATTTATTTCTCCCAAACTCTTGCAATCGAAACTTGAAAGAAAAAGAATTTCTTTCTGAGTCAGATTCTTTGTAAACCAATCAACTTTCATTTTCATGGTCACTGACGACTTAACCTTTCGAACGCTTCAAAGGTGATACTTAAAGGCTATTGGCAAACTGTACGATTTACTGATGAAGTCGGAAAAAAGATATGTACAAAGTTCATCCTGAACTAAATTTAAAATCATTCAACAAGAAACATTCACGCCAACAAACAAGCGTATCCTTTCTCATCCAACCAATCATTGTTAGAAATCGGCCACAATATAAATGTGCAGCAGTTAATTTGACACGCATAATCTATGCAAATCTACCTTCTAAAATCTAATCTAAAACCAATCTATGTTTTAAGAAGATGACCCAGTGATAGTATTATGTACTTTCTAGTACACAAAGCAGTCAGTCATTAAATACAAAATAGAATTCAAAGAATGTGACCACAAAAGTGGGATTTTAATAGCATTTAAGTAAGACTTTGAAACTAAGTATCAATATGAAGGAGAAAAAAATCAGGATAGACATTGGCACAGTAGCAAAGAATTCACACCAAATGTTTGAATCACAGAACTTCAAAAATAAAATAAAATCAACAGATGTGGAAAAGTATAACGGTAGACATTTTCACAGCCAATTCAAATAATATACGTATTATGTGTCTAAATTCCAAGCATCTTCCCATCCACTTTCCATGCCCTAAAAAAGAAAAATATTACTGAAAGCAAACAGGATATATCACGCTATCGCAAAGCAAGTTTATGAGATGAGTTAAATTATGCGGAATTATATCTGAGATAATTTAAACCACTCAGAGAAATTAAAGGCAATTCTCCTGTATGATACAAAGAGGACACAAGATAAAGAGTTGTATTCCAAACAGGATAGTTACAGAGTAACCTGTTCATGAGTACAGTCTCCTTAAAATTCTATGATGAACAATGCCAAGTTGAATATGAAAAGGACTGAAACTTCTCTACAGAATAAAGGTGCATCATACTGCTCACCAACGTCAATTACTACGACTCTCCTCCTTAAATCAATAACTCACTGGCTTAAATACTCAACTTTCAATCTATAAACAATGAGTAATAAAAAACCTTGACATCCATGAAAACGCGAGTAGTTAGTTCGATAGTACAAATAACTGTGACACAACAGACATGGTTTTGACCAAACATGCAAACTTTTAAGTGGTCACTAGTTTGTTTTAACCACCATCAACCATCGAGAATAAAGCTTGCTGCATACGCCAAGTCATTTGAACTATAAAAACACTTCCCGACCTTAAGGACAGGTAAGTCATAACTACTAATTAATATACTTGTGAATACTAATTATAATCCGAATACTTCCATATATACCATATATACGACTGAAAATAAATAATGGTGGCACAGATATGCTAACTTTTTGTCTCAACATGAACCTATAAACACATTCTACCTTTGGAGTCGCTTATCACCTGTTTCATTACTAACATCCCGATTTTTTGTTTCAGACGAAATCCTAATAAGAATAAACGTCAGGTCAATCCTACCTCAAATCCTAGATTTATGTCAATTTACACATCCCAAAGGATTGGATCAGTGATTCGAACAGAACCACTTGTCAAGTAGTCATAATATCTATTCCACAGAAATAGAGAGAAAGTAAACATACTGAAACGTAAGCTAAACAAAAAAATATAGAATGAAAAAAACCACTAGATCAATACATACTCCATCAGTTGAATGTTCTATAGAAAGTTCATTTGATGTAGTCATTACTGTTGAATTAGGTTGTGAATAATTGAGAGACGATAGAATAAAAGGTTTCTGTACAATTTTCGGTTCCATAAGTGTTAAAATGGCATCGACTTCACCTTCTTCATTTGGAATCTGAATAAATGATTAAAAAGAAATGATTAATAATCTCGTCAGTGATACTTCTTACATACAAATTGAAAGGATTTCTTTCAGAAGTGAGATTAAATGAGTATTTCAGATAAATAATGAACAGGTGAACCGATAAAGTTAAGTCTAAAAATGCCTTCATTTTTGGCAAACTTATAAGTAGACGTAAATTATAGTAACATGGTTGGTTGTGGCTAGCAGAGGAATCCGGGACGCGCCTTTCGTTTTATCTGGGACCAACCAAATTACCATGATTAACACTCAGACAATATCGAGGCATCCGCATAGGAGGCTATATGCCAATAGAGGTCGAACAATTCAATCAAATAAAACAATGGAGAATTATAAGTATATCAATAAATAGTAATAGACATATATTGGTTGAACAGTGTAATGTATTTGCGCAACACATTTCGAACTATCTGATCACACACATGTACTTGTCATAGGTATTTTTACAGAAATTTATGACGGTAAGAGGCAAGAAAAAAAAGATCAAGTAGGAAGGCTGAATTAGAGACTGCATAACAATGAAAATCAATAGAGTGGAAATAATAGTACACTGAACATGGTTTTCATGGTTGAATTCACCAAGGAAGATTTAATGTGATAACAGATTGTTTATGAATACACAAAGGTGGCTCAAGTATCCTAACAGTTAAGGCTTCATTACACTTAAGGATCCGTCCCCAACACGTTTTGTAAATAGGTCTAAAGGAAGTAGCCACGATCTTGTGACCTGTCTCAACAATTTTCTCATTTTCCACGCCTTATCTTCATGAATTTCTATATAAATGCCTATGACAAGTACGCGTGTGATCAGATAACTCGCAGTGTTGCAAAAATACAGTACAAGGTCCAGATAATTTACGTCTTATCATAGCTTTATTGAAACTTATAAGTTTCCAGATACATTAAAATGATACCTATGTCGAAATGCATTCACGCACCATCTCAATGTAAATTATCACTCCTCCTTGATCTTTTTTAAACAACTTTCCACCTTTTTTGACTATTTCCTTTTTTAATTCTCTATCTTTCATGCCTGTACCTTCCAGTTTGGTGTGTGGATATCAAGCGTGGCAACCCGGAGTGCAACGTTGTAATGCCAGATACCATGATGACATCAATGAGATATTCAGCGTAGAGACTCTTCTCAGTGAACTGAGATGTTACTAAACGACAAATCCTACGACTCTTTTAAGTATCATCAAAATCGAGTATTGAGATTTTTGATCTCTTTGAATGGTTTTTTGGAGAAATTTTTTAATCACAAAATACTTATTACATTCCCCTATGTTTTTTTGCCCTCGTTCCGAATCATGATTCATCCAAGGTATATTGGTTGCAGAGCGTCGATCACAGTCGTGCAGATGCACTACACAATACGTACTAGATCCAACCTTCTTGTTAGGTCCCATACCCCTTCATCTCCACTTAGTTTCTGTCTTTGCCGTTGCGAAGTGTGTAAGTTTGAAATATCACACTCTTGTCCAATTTTCTACGTTGGTGTTAATCAGGCTTACCAATGTATTTAAAGCAAAGGAAACTTTCCAACTTAGTGAAAGTAGCAAATTAACAACTACATATTGGAAGAAAAAATGAGTTAGATACTAGAAGTCAATCTGAGTGAAATACTATACCAAAATTTCATCACTGTTGGCGCTCTTCAGGTAGGTACATCAGCAACCATGACTTCGGTCACCTAACGCCGAAGTACAGTACACTGTGTCACTTAGCTCGGATGCCAGACGCCAGACTTGATCGACAGATGCTGAGTACTAAGGAACAGACAGCTAAAAAAGTTATTTTCCAGCTAACAATTCATGTGAAAGAAGAATGAATTGCTTAACAACATATAGTTAGACTTGAGGTTTTAGTCAAATTACTTTCAACCAACACAGACAAACAGGAAATTGGACAGAAGTGCATCGGTCCAACTTGCTGTACAACACAGTTATACAAAAATACACAATACACAAGACCATATTTTTAGTTGTGAAAAACTGAGATCTCGAAGTTGTCCCAACAAACAGTTTCCCAAAAACTCAGGAACACGAATATTTTGCTGATATACTAAACAAAATAGCACCACAACAAAAAATTCCTTTGACCTAATATTGTACAATCGATAGTCACAAAATTGTCCTTTACTAGCATAAATTCAGTGACAGAACCATACGATTTATTTTTGTTTTTTATTCAATAAACGTACGGTTAGCTGGAATATATTCAATTGCGTGGATAAATGGCTTTAAAAAACATACGTAAAGCACGTTAGACACTTACGTAACTGAGCCACTGAGATTTTAACACAATAGGCAAAAATATATTAAGTAGTCCTATCAGTGCTTGTTGGCACTAATCATAGACAAAATGTATCTGTAAGCCTTCAGGAAACTGGTACTCGAACAAGCCAGCCTAGAAATTAAATAAAAACTCAAATTTAATTGGAATGTCTACAAGATATCCATAACCAACCTCTTCGCAACTACTGACAATGATGTTATTGTCTTCAAAATAGGATAGTGATTTCTTTTCAGTAGATTTTTCAGGCAGTGAACATTCAGAAGTACTATTTAAGCCGTCTATTTTCCTACAATTTGACTCGGTAGAATTGTTATTTTCTTCAACTGGTTTACAAGCAAATTCAGTAGTTGGCTGAAGCGTATCCTCGGGATCATTACAATAAGCATCATTATCACCACAATTATTCTTATGATCACTAGATACCTTGATGACAGCACCTGGAAAATAGAATCAAAAAGGAATACATACTTTTGAATCAGCATAAATATCACTTAAAAAACATGCAAAAAGTAAATAACACTATGGAATGAAATCACGGACAGATAATAGTCGAAACTTGCAGAGAAGTCATCATACTTTACAGTAAAATACGGAAAAATAAGTATAAAACACTGAAACTTATTGTATTGGTAGCTGGAAAGATTGAGAGATTATTATTATTATTATTAGTCCCTTGGGTTCCTAGTGGAATATAGGGCTTCAGTAGCACGTCTCCACTTCACTCTGTTCTCTGCAGTCTTTTGAACATGGCTCCAGGAAGAATGAGGGATGCAACCGTTTATTCATGAATATCCTTCACGTGTCCGTCTTTGTTCTCATTCTTTGAAATTCTCATTAGGTTGCCTAGGCTTTAAGGCCTTGTACACTCCCCATTTCGTTCGTTAAATACAAATAATTGTGTAGTGTATGGCTTGGCTACGTAAATTAGTCTTGTCCCTGAGATAGTTAGTGCAACGTTAATGGCCGTAGGTTCAACTAGTAACTAACACAACATCGACCAAACCGTCAAGACAAAGATATAACGAAATTAAAGTAGGTAAAGCGTACGAGAAGGTTAATAAAGACGTTTGAAACCTTGAGGAGGATGAATGGTGAATACATCTGCATGATTGTGACCGATTTCAAAACATGTTTCCACGAGCCTCCAACCAATGATCCTCAGCCATCTGAAGAGCTGCAGTCAGCGATTCTCTATTTGACATGTCTAAAACAGGAGTCAGAGATTGGTGTTATTTCTTGGTCTGACCACATACAGCTTCAACACAAGAGAAACCTACCTCATTCAATATTGCTAGTCCCACAGACAGAAGAAACCACAGTAAAATCTTGCACACAGGTGCATCCGCTCAAGTTGCCATACTTCAAAGAAGTATACAAAAGAATAGTTGTATAGAAAAGGAGTGATATCAAAGTAGAAGAATTTGTATGCGAGAATAAACAATCTGAAGTTAACGATTAGTGCAAATATACAAGCTTAAGACGTCAAGTAGCCAATACATCTGCGACACTGTGAATGATTTCCAGCCATATCACTAAGGGTCATCAACAACTCATTCCTTTCACCTCAGGGACCACAAACAAGCAGACTATATCTCTTCACACGACTCAGACCAACAGCAAGAGACTTCACCGACTGGTGCAACGTATTGGTCTAATCACCCTGAACACTATTCCAACCTAGTCCAACTTCCCCTAGTATCGAACTTCAAGGTAGGTGGTGGCACGGAATGTGCAACACATGTCCAAACCATCTCAACCAACTAAGGTTAACACCCTCATTACTCGACTTTCCTGTCTTGCTCAGCATCCTTCACCTCACCTCAACATTGCTCACACGCTGATCCAACCAAACGCCATCAATGCTACGAAAACACCTACGATCAAAAAACACTAACCGCTTCATTTCTTCTGCTTTCAACTATGTCTCAGCCGTACAACTGGACAAAACGCACTGCAACGAAGTCATTTGGTGGATAGTAGGATATCTCGCTAGTTGGCGCCACAGGTGATGCAATTTAACAAATGCCAAAACGGCCTTCTGAATCCAAGTTGAGATATCGTCACCAACCAAGCCGTTTGGGATGATGTAACTCCCCCAAGTAAGTGAGGTGGTCGACAACTTTCAACCACTTCACTCTTACCATAAAACTGCCAGTACTTGCAGCAGACTAGTCCTCGAGCATCATCTAACATTTGACAAGTGTGAAACGAATACCACCCAAACATACTCGGATTTCCCCTCAACAGCTTCACAAAACTCTGCATTTCATCAACGTCTTCAAGTAGCCGGACAATATCGTCTGCATACTCAACTCAACCAGATGACCTCCAGCGAGTAGGCCAAACCATGTGAACTCACACGTACCTAAGGCTATCCTCATTATTACGTCTATCACGAAGTCAAATAGAGGCATATACAGTAGATAACCCTGATGAATCCCACTAGCTGTCGTCAATTAACATGAAAACTCTCCATGAGGCCTGATACGGTTGCGTGAGTTTGAGTAGAGACCTTTGATTAGACCTACAAATAAGCTCTTCGTACTCCCTTCACAGTTAGACACTGACACAATACATTACAGTCGAAATTGTCGAATACCGCCTGTCTGTAGGTCAACAAATATTATGAGTGTCGGTCACCGATACGCACACCTGTGTTTCAGAACCTGTTGTAGGGCTAAAATATGGTTAGATGCACTCTCATCCAGCTGTGTCTGAAACCTGTCTGGGTTTCCTGAGCTCTTGTTAGGTGTCGAATACCTGTAGATCCTAGGATCCTGAAAACGACTTCAGTCAAACCAATTCCTTTTCGGTTGTAACAAGATTTCTCCCTATTGTTATAGACCGGGATGATCAGTGAAGAAGACAAGTTTGATGCCTTTATCTCTGATTCACATACACTACGCAGTACCTCCATCACTTGAAGCACCAATTTCTTACCTCCTTCCTTCATAACCTCAGGTGTAAAACTGTCACCTCCTTATGCTTTGCATTCTTTCAGGTTCATTACACCTTTCTCAACTTCATAGAGACTCGGGGAACCAACATCTACGTCTCATTCAGCTTCAGGCTGAATGTTAGACACCTGAATTCTTCATGATGGCCAGTTCAACTGTGCTTCTAAGTGTCCTGACCAACGTTATAGCCACCCGTCCTGAGAGGTTAGCACTCTTCCATTCTTAACGGTGATGGTTTCACTAACCATCGTCTTCTTCTCACCAGTATACTTAATCACTATTACCCATAGTTGATGCCTTCTCCGTCTCTCTCTCGCTTTCACCAACCACCACTGCTCACGATCGACACGAAGACTCTTGGTCAGACAACGTTCAATTTACTTTCACTCTTCACCATGGTCACAGTAAACTGGAATCAATCAATCAATCAATCAATCAATCAATCAATCAATCAATCAATCAATCAATCTCGCATCAATCAGTTCCGATGACGTTTGCCAACCACTCGGTGTAGGTTGTCGGCTGTTTCGACAGCAGACTTAATATCATGTCAGGTTTCCTCACGATCAGCATTGCTGTCACCTTCCGATAAACGCCTAGTTAACTCCTCTCTTGATGCTATCATCTATCAATCGAGCGTGGATCGGCCTCGCTACTTCCTTTCCCTGTGACCAGTAAGGGGCAGACATACACGCACCCCTACTAGCGCGTATTCACAGTCAAAACTGGTATTCCACAAAGAACGCAAACCCCCTACAACAACAGCTAACAGCAACATCGTCTCTCTTTCTTTCTTTAGTGTTGACTTGAAGTCTGTGAACACCATTATGTGACAGTGTCTCTCCTTATCCCTAAAGTCATTCATGACCAGAAACAAATGAGTGTTGGGACAACATTGTAACAGACGATCACCATAGTGGTTCGTTGATATGGGATTCAATAAATACCTCCAACATGTCTCTCCGATTGCCTCAGCTCACCCCTTCTACTTCACCCTCCAAGTCACCTGCTTTTACGACTACATCTGAACGTTTTGCTTCCTGTAGCAACATTTACAGCTTCTCATTGAATTCATTCTTCCCATCACCCCAACTGCAGTCGGTGGGTGTGTAGGCAGAGATTACCAATAAACAGACAACGCTTTGTCTCATGATCCTTCCGAGTCCTCACACATCTGTCCAGTCCAACAGCACACATAGATGCCTGTTGACTGGTATCAAGTCGAGAAGCCAACCTCATGCTCCACAACTCACTGTTATGCCTGAATTTGAAGACTCATCACTATGGCCAAGAAGGGTCAATTTAATAACCACACTCAGGACCTGCATACGTATCTCACAGACCCAACATACATACATCCATCGATTGAGATTCCACAGTTCTGACCAGCAATTCCTGCTGTCCGAATCGGCATACAGTTCGGACTTTGGGGGCACCCACATGAAATCGACAGCAAGGTCACAGGAGACTAGAGATGGGGTTTCGATGACCTCAATCGTTGGCAAAGGTTTCAGAATGAGAGGTTGGGGAAGGGTCAAGAGGGTTAATGTTAGTAACGGGAGATGAAGGCAAATGAAGAGACACAGTTGAGGGGGATATCATCTTGTGTTTCATTGGGTCTTGTATATTATCAGAAGCTTGAGGACGGTTGGCACTTTCCGGTGCCTCACACCATGCAAGGTTAGTTCTTTCTTCTTGAGGTAACTCAAAAAGAAAAGGTTTATGTGACCACAGAGAACATGGGATATTTGCTTCAGGCATGTTATATACGATGTTTGTGGGATGTTGTTTTGAGGTTTGGTTGTTGTAACGACAGTCAGAGAGGACTCATAACGCCGGTACCGGATAACTGTGGCACAGGAGGTGTTATTTTCAGGGGCAAACCTTTTCTAACCCCCCTTCCCATTGGGAGGGTAGCATGAGCGTGAAACTGCTGGTAATCCAAGGGAATCCTCTTACTGCTATCATATCCTATCCAAACAGTACCAGTACGACTTGGCCCTCAGACCCCCATCATAGTGTAATAATTTACACCACAACGCTGTGAGCACAGTTATTGGCTCATGTTTATACATCGATATAATAAAAGATACTAACTTTGAAATGTATATTCAGACTGTGGAACCTACGCAAATAAACTTTCCCAGTTTAAACAGCACATAACTATCGAAAACATACAAACATGCAAAGTAAGAAAAGTCTTGTCTATAAAAATGCTTACCATCTGATAGTGAAGGATCAGGAGAAGTGCTGAAGGAAGAAAATAAAAACAAATTGATCAATGAGACTTCCAAGTTTTCAAACACATTATAAGAAATTTGTATTAACGATATGCTGCGTGGAAAATTTGAGTATGCGTTTTAATCAACGATACGAAGTAACACCTTAAAACATTTATCAGATAATCGAAGGATGAGCCGTCTACTGAAAGCCATTTTGTTTCATTTATCTCTCCTATACAGTTTACTGAAATGTGAATTCACACATCTAACTTTATTAAGGCTCGCTTATATCAATTCGACAACCATATGCAAACTTATACATTGGGTTATAAGATACACTTATGATGTAGCGATGTGGTCACCAGTCAGTCATTGTAACTGCATTTTGATAACCTCCAGTTTCAATTCTGTATACTCTTTTGTTTCAATCTCTTACAGATTTTGACTTAACGATTATATTCTGATTTTTATGAATTTAACTCCTTGACATGTCATGTAATCTGTTAGTGACTATTACTTTTGCTGAATCTTTGTTTTGCTCACTCATTTCTTTATAACCCTTACTTAAGCCTTTTATTCCACAGCATATAAATTGGAAATCATTTTGATCGACAAACTGCTTTATCAATATTTCGCAATCTCTAATTTTTGTGGTTTCGCCTGACTTTTTCTTGTTAGGAATTGTTTTAGGAAGATTACAATCAAGGCGAAACTAGAAATTAAAAGTGACTATTTTGAATGCAAAAATCAGGTTTGTACCGCTGGATCAAAATTGTCATCTTACTTTCATTTCAGGAACCATCAAAATTCCAAGCAGTCTGAAACTGAAAATACCCTATAAAATGATATCACGTGAATGTACGAATTCAGTCCATCCTGCTTTGTTCAAATTTACCAAGCGAGTCAAATATAAGAGATTCGACCTTACATTAGACCCTCCATGAAGCACCAAACACAATGGTGAAATTTTCACGTTCATTGTAAATTTAGGATTACTCACATAACAAAGTGAACTGCCTTTTCTAATAATTTAGTCAAGTAAAACTCGATATTCAACATACTGGAAACAAAACGACTGAAACACAGATAAGAAATCACTACACACTACAATGAAAGTAGTCCAATGTAGTGTCAAGCTTCTGAAATAGACACATAGACAAAATCAGCGTAAAACTTCCCCCACACACAAAAAGATCACTGGTTCATGTTGCTGCACAAAGGAGGTGACATCAAGAGAAGTGTAAGGGAGGAGAAACAATTTTTAAACTGAATGTTAATGTTCAGACTTTCGACAATGTCAAAGACCGAAAACACCTGCACCACTGCGACTGTTTTTTAGCCATGTCATCAAGAGTCTCCAACCATTGATATTTATTATCTCGAAGACAACAATCAGTC